GTGACCCATCCTTAATTTTTTTGTTTTGCAATACAACGTTTGCCGGGTCAGCTAGTATATATATATCTATATATCTTACAAAAACAAAATTAAACTGAATATTATTAACGACAATTGCCGACACATGCGATGTAACATACTAATGAATGGTTTCTACGAAGAAACAAAATGGCGACAGAATCACGCAACAAAGTCTGGATTGATTACTCCGCGCTTAAATTACAAGTGATTTAGATTGATTTACTTGAGGATGAATGTCTGTGATTGTGTGTGTGTCTTCTCGGACGTATCTGGTGACGGCTTCACCATTCATTTGTGTCAGTCTGGATACTAGATATTCTAGAAATTCTATCTGTTCGTAAGGCCGTAATTAAAAAAAAAAAAATCTTACTGAGGCCAATGGAGATTCATTTAGTGTTTACTCACACGGATTTTCCACGTTTATCCTCTATCATAATTATCTAACTTTTTTATGGGAATAAATTAATAATAAAACACTAATTAAGTTCTTTTTTTTCAATATCACATCTAAATGATGTGAATGTCGGTAAATAAATTTATGTCCGAATTAAGGTTGATAGTTTGACAAAGACATTAAAATTCAAACGTACTTATTCAGATGAGAATCCAAGCTTTGATACTATTGGATGAAACTGTATTCTCAAAGGAAAAAAATATCTTCTATATATATTTTATATTCAAAAGATTTTTTAATTGAATAAGTTTGTTTTGTAGTTATTGCTTGATGTTGATGTTACTATGTATGGCTATGTGGTGTCAGTGTGAAGTAATTAATTATATTATTATAATGATTTGACTATACTACAGGACATCTTTATAAACAATACTAGCTGTAACCTACCAAACTTCACTGTGACACATTGTGGTTCATCATCATCACCATCAACATCCTATAATAGTCCACTGCTGGACATAGGCTCTCCTTAGAAAGGTGTACAACATAAATAAAAACTATCTCTGAAACAGTTTGTACATCGTGTCAAAATTTGAGCTCAATCGATACAAACTTTTTGAGTTTTTGAAGCGTACACAAAGTATCTTAACATTTTTAAACATATAAATATGTATGTAGTTATATACAATACGTATATAAGTATGCATATTCGTGTTCTAGAATCCACAGTACAGGCCAGTACAAACTGTGATTTGTTACAAAATAAACGCGATACGGTGGCGATTAATTTCCGCGTGAACAAAACCTCGCAATTAATTATCGCTGTGCGGTAGTTTTTTCGTTGCTTTTCACCGAGAGAATGAGGTTACCGGAGCTCAAACTCTCTAACCCTTGATTCTGGGGAGGGGGAATCAAATAGCGGTTACCACTTTTGACTCTTGAGATACAGGTTTCTTTGAACGGCGGTAGTCGCTTACCATCAGGTGAACCGTATGCTCGTTTGCCCTCCTATACAATAAAAAAAAACGGCACGAGGGGTCTATGGACCCCCTGTCCGAATGAAGTTCCGCAAGAAGTGTTGGAAAAAAGTCTTGTTACACATTTGGTGGTCTCGCTCGTGTACCGCGCGATAATAAACTTCGTTCCAAAACGTAATATGTCTTAAAATCCTAACTAATAATATAAATGGAAAAGTGAGTATTACTGTCTGTTTGTTTGTTACGATTTGACACCTTAACTGCTCAACTGATAATTATAAAACTTTGCACACACATTGTTACCGCCTATCCACAGAAATCAGACAAAATATGGTATCATTAAAATAAATGTACATATTGTCTTGATGTGCACTAATCACTATTTGTAAATGCGATTTCGTTATTACATTAAAAAAGTTCGTTTTTGTTAATTCATAATCACACTCGATTGTTAAATGTGGTCAAGTTAATGTATTTCTTAGTCTCAAAGGTTGTTTTGCCAGCGATCTTAATAATTGTATTTCCTGAGGGCTTTGACCTCAGACTGTGGGGTTTTACCGCAGCGAATTTATGAAAGTAATATTGGTTATGTAGTCACTAATTTAACCATTATAAGAATGAATTGATTGTTTGAGAATGAATGTAAATATTTTTGAACTAAGACTGCTTCAATTTTTTATGGGATCAGAGGGGTCACCTGACGGTGTGCCTACCGCCGCCAATAGTACCCGCCGCCAATGATATCCGCCGCCAATGATACCCGCCGCCAATGATACCCGCCGCCAATGATACCCGCCGCTAATGATAATCGCCGCCTTTGCACTTGCTTATAACTTTAGATAATTAGGTTTTGACATAACTTAAGTTTTTAGACATTTATTTTCCTAATTTCAATCAATATTCCTTACACAATTATATTGACCATTGTATCTATATTAATATTGTGAATTGTAATCATTCACAAATTTGTTTGCTGTTTTTAGAAATTTTATTGTAATAAAATTTTGATGCATTTTTTATGTTTGCATGCCTAGTCAAGGTTCAGAAAACGTGTTAACATCGCTATTTCATGTACCTACAACTACATTCTGTGTTTTTATGAACGGACCGACTCAAAACTATGATCCTTTCTTCAAAAGACAAACCCAGACCCTATACTGCACTCACATAGTTCTTTATAACATTGTACACGGACTTAAAAAAACCTCTGGGGTTTGTTTCGGCGTTTCTTCCCAGAGCGAGTCTTAGTAACTGCCGGCGCCTACTAGCTGTAAAGTCCGACTTATAAAAATATCTGAAAAGACTTACTTGCAGAAATAATTTGATTTAGTATTTGTCTACAATCAATGCAAATAAAATATATTCTATTCATAAATACCTACAACTTAAAAGGGCACGAGTGCGTTGCAGCCCTTTGCCCCCGAGTTCCCTGGTCGAGTCGGCACATAATTAGATGGGGTCTAGTTGAGCCTCCATGAAACGCAGCGAAAGATATGCTTAACACCGGCTTTCTCTGAAGCCGTGGTTTCATTTCGGTCGCATGAAATTAAAAGTAGGTAAAATGTAGGTATACAAAAACTGCAGAACGGTAAAATACAATACATGTAAAAATGTTAAAGGTACTTTTATTTGCATTTGGTCCTGTAAACAAAAATGGCGCAAGAAAGGTGAACCTATGAAATAGTTCAAGTCAGACGATCTCAAGTTCTAAGGTAGAAACATTCTGTCTAAGCAAATAAATGTCAGTATCATACCCCGAGCCTTTACCAAACCTTGATGGGGGTCGGCTTTCAGTTTGCTACGGCACGGCTGAACTCCGGTTTTTTACGTGGAGCGACTGTTTTCGGGAATTTTTAGAGCTCCAACTGACAACATGGTAACCGGAACCGAAGGCTTAACGTATTCTCTGAGGCACGGTTACCCATCCATAGAGTGATCTAGCTAGGATTGCTTAACTTTGCAAAATGCTACTCGGTTACCACTAAGGAACGAGCTCCTCCAAACAAATAAATGTCAGCAGCTAAATTTACATTAAATAAACCAACGATAGTTGTTTGCGGACGCGCTTTCCTCGTAATGTGAATTTCGCGAGATTTCACCATGATACGAACGTGACAAGGTTGCGATGCATCAGGTCAAGGTTCCGAGCCGCGGTTGGCTGACTGATGGTTGTCAAGTAACCGGGACATTTTCCTCACATAATGATATGAACAGATGTTGTATTCGTTCACGTTGAATGATTATTACAGTGCTGTTAATATGTCATTAGCTGTTGGTAATTTGTAACCTTTATACATAAAATAACAGGTAAGGTATTTATGACGGCAGGAACTTTGTTGAATCACTACATAATATAAAATGAATTTCCACGAAAGGACTGTCTATTTATCTGAATGCTGTAGTTGTAAGTACTTATGAATTTTTATACGGATTCTATCAATGATTAGAGAGATTCGTGCCTTAATTTCTAAAAAGATCTATTAACTAAAACAGAATAAAGTATTATTGGGTGGGTTGCTAGTATGTAATAATAATATATAATAGTGGAAAAGTCATGATGGGAAACCTTGACCGGCGTGACACCACGGCCTCATAGAAAACCAGCGTTAAACAGTTCCTTAGTTGCATTTTATCGAGTGACTAAGGTTACGGAAGTAGGTACAAACCCCCTCTCGTTAGTTTAGTTAAAGCCAGTCAAAGGCCTACAATGCACCTATGACCTGGCAACGCCCATAAACGGCGGTATTTACTTACCATCATTATCGTCTGCGGTATTTCCGGACCCATATGACCTTCAAACCTTCAAGAAAAGAGCGTAATTCATCTTAAAAGGCCCGCAACGCGCTTGTGACTCGCGAATTGCAGGCGTTCATGGGCGGCGGTAGTCACTTTCCATCAGATGAACCGTCTGCTCGATTGCCCCCTCTTCCATAAAAAAAAAACCATTAGATGAACCTTCTGTACGTTTATTAGCAACCATAAAAAATATGATAGACTGCAAGGACATTTGTTTGTACATTACGTAATAATTACTTAATTTACTGAAACCTTATATTTGGGCAAATGAATTACATTCGAGAAAGTTCAAATTTGATTACTTACCTGCTGGGGTAATGTCAAAAGAAACGTGTTGTTTATTTTTTGTCAGCTTTTGATCACGGCCTCGTGTTAATGTAAAGTTCGTAAATAAATGCCTTCGAGATTCTTTTTTAAATTTATATCTCTCTTTGAGAGTGTCCGTGTGGTGACGGATTAAGAATACGGATTGTCACCACCCCCATTCATCTCGTGGGTGTCGTAAGAGCCGACTAAGGGACAGTGGTACAGTAGGCCAAAACCTCCTTTCTAAGGAGAGGCCTATGTCCAGCAGTGGTCTTTTAAAGGCTGTTGATGATGATGATGATGATGAGAGATGGAAGTTCTTCACCAGTTCTAAGAATACTATAGAATTTAACTACAGTTTTGCGTATATTTTTACTACGAAGCCAATGAATTGTTTAATGGCGCTCGCAGTCGTTGTTACGCAATGGATTTTTGTTTTTTTTAGGTAATTTAATTTCATTAAATAATATGTATCTATAATAATGTTATTTTGCTTTTGTCTACAGAGAAACCTCGCCTCCGTCGCCGATGGGCGACGCGAAGGACTCCAAGATGAGTCAAATACAGTTCTCATCACCACCATTCGAAAAACAAGACAGCTCGGTACGTATTTAATTATTAATTATATACATTGTGAACATTTTTATATATTTATATTATATTCGAGAGATCACCTTGAAGTTTATTGAATAGATTTATAATAGAGTTTGTTTAATTGGTCTTCGGAGATATCTAGATAGCTAACATATAAGAAAAAAAGAGCGTACTCCTTCCTAAAAGGCCGGCAACGCGTTTGTGACTCGTGAGTTGCAGACGTTCATAAGCGGCGATAGTCACTTTCCATCAGGTGACCCGTCTGCTCGTCTGCCCCCTCTAACATAAAAAATAAAAAAAAAACATCACCACAGTCCACGGTGGGAAAAAGAAGAGATTGTGCTAGGGCGATTTTTGTATCGGTAGGAAGAAGGATCCTGCTGCAGCAAATAATTTACGACTGACCTCAACAATATAGATTCCCAAGTTTTTAACTTTGTCGCTATTTAGAATACAGGACCCATCGCAATAGGTAGTTGACAGTTGTTGCCAATTTACATTCTAAGTTTTGGTTTATATTCACAAGCTTGATTAATATATTTTGTTTTAAAGTTAATTTTAAATAAAACAGTCATTCATTACACACACACACACTAAGTATTTTTGATATTAAAGGCTGAATCGACCAGCAGGCGTAGCGAAACGAGGACACGAGACGCCCAGCGCTCGTCATATCACGCTTACCTAACTACGCGATCCCGTCTTGTCCCGCTCGCTGTCTGACCCAACTTTAAATGCTAATAAGTCTTACAATCATATAAAAAAATCTCGTATTGCAAGGTTCATCTTGCAAGGTTATTTTCAATAATTTCAGAGAGTTTTTTTTCCACGCATCAGCAATTTTGCTATATTTTATAGTAGCTTTCATTCCACCGCGTACCGGAAAACGCAGTGTAAGTATGCCCCTCACAAGGTGGTCCGGTTACTTGTTGGGTAAGGGGAGCACAGGACCGGTTGTTGTGGAGAGCCATGTGGGGTGGACTATTTCCAGCATTGGACGTCTTCCGGCTGATGCTTTAATCCCACTTAGTGTGAGAGGAAATATGTGCCTATCTGCTAATTTTGCATGTCTAAATTGCATGTCTATAAATGGTTGTGATATCATAGCACACAAACCATTTTTCATAAGTTGAAATAAAAAGTTTTTTGCCACACGGCCGTCTGATTACAAATCAGACAGAGCCCTAAGTCATAACTTAGGGCTCTGTCTGATTTGTAATCAGACGGCCATATTATCAGTCCAGATTATCAGGCCAGATTACCATAGTAATCAGAATGCTGATAAACATACGTATATATTTAAAAAAAATCATACGTACAATAGAAAAATTGCACCCAGACACAGAACAAATATTTGTGCTTATCACATAATATTTGTCATGGGTCGGTATCGAATCCACGAACTTAGCATTCAGAATTTTTGTTATAAATTGTTCTAGAAATATTCTCGTTAATATGATTCATTCAGAAAGTACTCACAGAAAGACAATAGTCACTTAGGCCCTTAACTTGAGGCAGCCTATTCAGGCATACAATCATCTTTGTTTTTACTTATGACGTTCGTTTCGATAGCAGTGCAATGGACAGCTTAGCTTTTATTGACAACGTGACGTCGGCAACTTCGCAAGTTGTGTGTTCGATATCTGCTTGGTCTGTCATTTATATACATGAATATGTCTATGTATTTAATGTATTATTTCTTGAAAAACCCGGGTATGACTCAGTAAAATATACAGTTGTTTATGATAACCACTTCTGTATCAACAATTAATGATAATGTAACTTTGACGAATAATAAGCGTTTACATTGACAACTAGATGCGAAAGGGAAAATACCTTTAAAAATAAATAGTACACACTTGTTATAAATAATGAAAACAACTGCACACAACTCACACACGACTGTTAAATCCCAAACTAAATCCCACACAAATATTTGTTCTGGCTTTAGCAGTCAGGGTCACTGACCACGACGCCAATAGTTTAGGTCTAAATTCTCGTTGTATACTCAAGTTTCAATTCAATTCAATTCGTGTAATGCACTCCATAATGTTTACACAGGACTTATAAATATAGAAAGAAGCAATTATGGACCCTGTCGGGCACGGCAAAGTTAGGAGAGAAAAGCAAACATTCTATCATCATATTGACATTTAGTTTAGTAAATAGAACTAAGTAGGTATTTATTTTGATTGCTCATGTATTAATATTATATTATAGTACATTTTTAATATATATTGATTTGTTTTTATAGTATCTTTTATATTATGTTAACTATTCAAATTTGTCGTTTAGATATTTATTTATTTTTTTGTATTAAAAGATCTTTTAATTTTTTGATAAAAGTATTTTTAATAACCTTATTTTTAATATTATTGGATAATTTATGATATGTTTTTATGGACATGACATAGGGGCTTGATGCATGCATTTGTAATCTGGACGTTGGTAAATTTTGATTTTGTGTCTCAATTTATAATTTGTATTTAAATCTTCCCTTCTCCTGTAATAATCTGTGTATTGTCTGACAAATTTACATATTTGAAGAATTTACATACAAGGAATGGGCAGTATTTTTAGTTTTTGGGAATGAGATTTGCAACTTTCTGTGTCGTCGAGCCATTTGGGCCTAAGCAGGTCATAGGTGGGCATTGGTGAGCCACGGTTAACATCGTTTTTGCGTATAAATTTACTTAATAAATATATATATATATAATATATCCTGTGTCGCGGGAGACTTTACAAACATAAATGAAACAGACACAAAGAACACCCAGACTCAGAACGACAATTGGTGACACACAAACCGTTGTCCCATGTGAGGAGCGAACCCAAAACACTCGGCGTAGTAGGAAGCGGCGTGGCGACCGCTTAAACCACTCAAACAATCAAAATACAAGTTACACTATAATATCACATTAAAAAAAAACACTTTTCTCTCAGTGTCAAACTATAAGTACTGAAGCATGGTTCACCTCATACTTATTATGTTGATTCATGGGGAATAACCATATAATATCTATAATGTGATAAATCAAGAGAAAACCACATTCAAGGTACAGAATGAATCAGAACTTATGGATGCTAGGAAGTAATTACGTATGATATTACATGGAAAGGTTATCGGGTATTAGCATAGTATATTTTATACGTTACAACTTACCATGACATTAATCAATTATGGAATACCAGCTTTCGCGATTAAAGCTAGTATTCCATATTCTGCGTATGCGTAGCTTCATCATCAGCCTATCGCAGTCCACTGCTGGACATAAGCCTCTTCTTAGAAAGGAGGTTTTGGCCTACTATACCACGCTGGCCAGACGGGTTGGTATAGGGTTTGTGTCAGTTTTCCTTCTCTCTGCAGTATTGTTGTTCTGAGTAGCTTGCTTAATCTAATCCGTGTGGTGAATTATTAAGAATACAGAGTGTCGCTATCCTATTCATCCCGTGGGTGTCGTAAGAGCCGACTAAGAGAGCAAAGTACGCAGGACAACACTGCAAAGAGATAATGTAGCTTTCCATTGGTGAAAGAATTTTTGAAATCGGTTTAGTGGTTTATGCGTGAAAGCGTAACAAACAAACAAATAAACTCACTTTCACTATAAGTATTGATTTTGACAGGTTTCTTCGAAGCACTCTTAATATTTTAACAACTTATTATCTGAAACTAACGAGAAGTTTATTTGTTTAGATATGGCAGAAGCGCCAGCAGGCTGTGTGTGTGCGTCATGCCTTCAAGCACTACGGGTCTAAGAAGCGGCCAAACCATGTGCTCAGCAACCTCAACATGACCGTCGCTAAGGGCACCATGTGAGTATTTTATATTAATATCCATACACACTCAATAACAGTCCAACAACCGTCTTCCTACAGAACTTCGATAATGCTTATTACTTGGGTTGTGGAGGCTGATAGCAGTCGCTCCGCCTAAAAAATCGAAGTTCGGCCGTATCGTAGTAGACGTAAGGCGGACCCCATCCTTGTTTTGGAAAAGGCTCACAGGAAGATCCATACACACTCTCGCGTCAATATCCTCGTAGGGATATTACTTTGTTTCTGAGCATTTATTCGCTACAAAATAGATTTTTGCTATACAAATACAATAAAATTATAATTAAAATAATAAAATAAAAATAAAAAAATAAAAAATTATGACTACTTACACATATAATCATTGGATTCATGTCAAAATATTACTTACATTAAACTAAAATATTAAGTGAATGTCAAACTAATACGACAATATTAAAATAACAAACTAATGTCAAAATGATAAATTAATACTAGAGTAATAAATAAAAGAAATAAAAACGCCCAGAGGCGGCGGTATTCGCTTACCATCACATGAGCCGTCTGTTCGTTCGCCCCTTATACCATAAAAAATCACAAATCCTGAATCACGCATCGAAAGTCCTCGTAGGTACCAAGCTTGAAGTGCTCCTTGAAGAGATTTATCACCGTTCCTCCATATACATATGTATATAAAGATAGCAATATAAATAGACGGGTCTGTTGGTCTAGTAGTTAGTGACCCTGACTGCTACGCCAGAGGTCGTGGGTTTGATTCCCACCCAGGACAAATAATTGTGTGATGAGCAGGGTCATTTGTTCTATGCCTGAGTGTACTTTATCTATAATATGTATGTATTTAGTACGTTTATTTATAAGTACGTTTATCAGCAGTCTGGTTAACATAGTACAGGCTCTAAGACCGCTGTGTGTAAGATGTGTGACGTTATTATAATGTCTATATTTATGTTCCGGTAAGTTCTATATGACATGTATTGCGAAGGAATCTCGGTCGATTAGCGCATAATAGCGCAAGACACCTGAACTAGAACCAGAGCATCATTACGATAATAGATAACATCGTGGTAGTATTGAATACATTACATATAAGGTCATAGACAAATAATCTCTATTTCTATGTGTGTAAAACACGTGTCGAAGTTTTACTTACATTGCTGTATCTTAAAGGAGATTGTTATCCATATCAATACTAATATTATAAATACGAAAGTGTGTCGGTCTATCTGTTACCTTTTCACGCTTTAACCGCTGAACCGGTTTAGATGAAATTTGGTACAAAGTTCGTACGAGTCCCAGGAAAGAACATAGGGTATAACTAGCTTTCGCCCGCGGCTCCGCCCGCGTGTATATCCTAAACCTCTATATCCTTTCTAAAGAATCAAACTATCACCATACTACATTTCATCTAAATCGGTTTAGCGATTTAAGCGTGAAGAGGTTCGCCTTTAAAATATTAGCATGGATATCAAATACACACTTACTACTAAGCCATTGCTAATTAGATTATAATCATAACAATCCCATCTGTAAGCAAGTAGGAAGCAGCCATCACGTCAGTCCACCAAGGACAGAGAACAAAAGATTATTAACCTCTGACAAACATAATTGTCAAACAATCGATTGGCACACCATTAAACACGGCTTATATGTCGATGGGAAGTAATTGATGGTAAATGCACTAAGTAATTGCTTTGCACTTAAAGTTTAAGACGTAGTTGTCTACCTATATGGAAATAGTAATAGTAACCTGATAGTATAGTAATAGTAACCAATGTCGCCTGTGGAACGGGTTATGGTCTGCGGTTTTTCTGGACCGATACGACCTTCAAGAAAAGAGCGTACTCCTTCCTCAAAGGCCGGCAACGCGTTTGTGACTCCTGAGTTGCAAGCGTTCATAGTCTTGGCTTTTCATTAGGTGACCCGTTTGCCCCCTATTCCATAAAAAAATGTCTACTATTCTGATCCCAAACTAGGCAGAGTCTGTGCTATGGTAAACATGTATTTACTTTAACTGTATCTATGAATTCACTTCCAAATAAATAAATAAAAAACGCGTTAGAAACTTGTTAGTCTAATTCCTGTGGGGTGGATTATTGTTTACCTGGTGGTCTGTAAATCACGATCAACTTACTTCAGACACCAGCTCCTCACAATAAATAATCTAAGTTCTATGTCACTTTTTGTAAATATATATAAGTCTGCGTTGTAAGCAAAAATAATAATTATTATGGTAACCAGACTGCTGATAAACATACCTATATATATCCTAAAACATACATATTATAGATAAATTAAACCCAGACAGAACACATTTTTTACACAATTGTTAGGCTTGGGTGAGAATTGAACACACAATCTCAGACTTAGCAGTCAGATTCGCTAACCACTTGACATAAAAGCAACCCCATAAAGCCAGCCAAGCCATAAAGAATACAATATGATGAAATCTAAATTTGTAGTTTTGATTATTCTGCCACCTAAGTTCCTGTTGACGGGCCTGTTGGTCTAGTGGTTAGTGGCCCTGACTGCTAAGCCGGGAAGTCGTGGGTTCGATTCCCACCTAGGATAAATATTGTGTGTTGAGCACGGTCATTTGTTCTGTGTCTGGGTGTAATTTATCTATAATATGTATGTTTTTTAAAATATATAAGTATGTTTATCAGCAGTCTGGTTACCATAGCACAAGCTCTGCCTTTGTCTGTGTGAGATGTGTGAGGTTATTATTATTATGTGAGGTTATTATAATAGTAGACATAAATTTAATCCAAAACGTATAATCGTAGAGTTTGATCTTCTCCTAAATTTTAATTGAGAAAGTGCGAACTTAGAGGGCTTGACGTCATTTCATAATATTGTCCAATCATTTACTTTCACCATTTTAAATAAATACCTACATCATTTTGAGGGTAATTTCACTATGACTTGGATAGTTTAGCTTCTTTTTATAAAGACCATAAGTCGTGAAGGTAAAGCATTACACGCCATTACTAGCTTTTATTTATCTCTTATGGATTTGAAACTTTTCTACATTGGTTAAGTACCAATGACAATGCATTTGTATAAGAGAAATCATCAACAATTGATGTTTAAGACACTTAACATTATATTTATCGAAATCTATTAAATTGTGGCGATCTGTTGTAAAGTTCACTATGTCCTGTTATTAGGTTTTCTTATTAACCATTCCTTGACACCTGCAACTCAAAAGTCACAAGTGGGTTGCTGCCCTTGGAGTTCCTCCCTCTCAAGTCAGCGAGAGGGGAGATTGGGGCTCCGGTAACCTCTCTCACTCAGTGAAAGGCAACGAAAACATTGCTTAACAACAGTTTTCTGTGAGGCCGTGTTATCACTCCTGCCGAGCCGGCCCATTCGAGCCGAAGAATGGCTCTCCCACGTAAAAGCATATATCTTCAGATAATGAAAAGTTTATTTACCTACTAAGTCCACATTTTATCTGCTAGCAATTTAAATGGTGATGACGATTTAGAACGAATACTTTAATTACCAATCAACAAAAAATTTGACACAAAATTGTCATTGCTAGTTGTTTGTTGAATGAGCAGAACATCGAAACATTAGTTTTTAATTACTCTACGTAACTACGGACGGATTAAGAATAAGGAATGTCACTACCCCAATTCATCCCGTGCGTGTCGTAAGAGCCGACTAAGGGCGCAAAACAACGCAGGACACCAGCACTGCAAAAAAGAAGGAAAACTTGACACAAACCCAATACCAACCCGTCTGGCCAGCATGGCATAGTTGGGCCGAAACCTCCTTTCTAAAGAGAGGCTTATGTCCAGCAGTGGACTATTAAAAGCTGTTGATGTGGTGTGATGACTCTACGTAACGAACAGTTGTCGCTTTATACAACACAGACGGGAAACCCATACTTGACGCTCGACGTACTGTATATAAATGGTAGTGGCTTAGAATGTGAGTCCACGTATGAACAGAAGAACATGGCACTGGTTGTGATATGGGTAGTGTGTGACATAAATACTAAATGTGTTCCCATTTTGTCTGTAGTACAAACCGGCAGCGTGACGGCACGGCTACAATAATGCAATCGACTGCAAAGGTCGCAGATTCGAACAGTTATATGATATGTCATGAATTTGAGTGTTTTTATGTACGTACTATGAATTTACAAGGAGAACTGGTAGTAAAGTCTTTGCTTAGTTTTGGCTCTTTATGGTTCTGTGATGTCTCAGAATATTCTAAATCCTAACTATGGTGATATAAATGTTAATTTGAGCCTGCTACGCGTTGATGTCTTCACTGTTGTACTGTCCATCACCAAGTTTAAGAAGAACTTAACTTCGTACATAAAATAATTTTACATTTCACTGGCGAGCATCGTCAGTGGACAGGTCTAACTCCCTCATGTCTCTTTGGACATTTGTGATCCAGGTAGTTTGTCTTCCTCTCCCTCTCAGAAATAATATTACTTTATTTTTAAAGCCAATATAATTGTTAAATAAATCTTAATTATTAAAGCAGCGTTAACGCCTATACACAATATTCGTACATCACATAATAGCATTATTTAAATTAATTGTGTAAAAAATTGATAAAAAAATCCTTTAATATTTAAAAAAAATGCTTTATCACAGGAAAATATAAATAATGTTACATTCATTTGTAATATTTTACTTCATGTTCTTGAGTTTCTGATTCTTGGAATAACACATTTAGATACATTTTATTTTAAATATTTACATAGTAGTAACATGGAAACAAGCAGCTCAATAAAAAGTTATTATTTATACATACTAATATTTTCACTAAATGGGTATCGAACCCACAACTCCTGATGATAAATCTAATGCATAGCTTCTCATCTCTTTGTGACTAAGACAATAAGAAACTGCTTTTAAAAGAACCTTCCACACAAAACGTTTCAATCTTGTCATGGCTTAGAAAAGTCATAATTCCTTTATAAGACAATGTATCTTTAAACAATATCCATAATTTATTAACTTAATGGTTTGTTAACCATCATAAACCATGAAATTTAATGCTTAGTACCCACGACACAGCAAATCCCCAAATAATTGGGAAAGAAGTCACAGCTGGTGACTCCACAATTGTCTCTTTCCCGCAATCACATACCTTTTCCTCAGGACCATGAAGAAACCACTGACCATTTCCGAACTAATAACCTAGTCACGCAAACATCAACTCTAACTCATACTGTATAAGGGTAATGTGTGTTGGTAAAATAGAATGTAAATGTGTATGGTTTCGCAAACGTTCGTCCTCGCACGCGGTGCTGCAAGCATCAGCGTGCGTCAGACCGTTACGATCTCAAGCGTTTTAGGAAACACTCACCGTGTGCGATGGGTTTTATAAATTCGTCGTGCTCGGTATAAATATTCTTAAGAATCCAATATAAGAAAGGCACTATTTTCCTGAAAGCTGAAGTGGCAGTGGGCTGGCCGTTGGGGAAAACGAGTTCTTGAGTGGAGATCGTACGTACAAACGTAGTGTAGGACGCCCACAGACCAGGTGGAGTGACTATTTGCGCAAGATGGTTGGCAGGAGCTGGATGCGAGAAGCCCAAATTCAATCTAAGTGGCGTGCAATGGGAGAGGCCTATGTCCAGCAGTGGACTGCGAGAGGCTGATGATGATGATGACTATTTTCCATTGACAGTTTATTTAGCCATTTAGATACAATTAAATACTTTTATCAGTGTTCCAATGGTTTTGTTGAATTGATTTAAAAACTTATTAAAATCGAACCCATATATACATACCGTTATAGAATTGTTGGCAATCAAGGACAAAGGCTATCTGATGGTAAACGAATACCGATAATTAAGACAGTTGCAGCACTTAATCAAGCAGAAATCAAATACGTTTTTTTGTAGGCCGTAATGAATCGTCTCGAGTCTCGAGTCTTTTGATATTAGAATATTTAGGGATAAAATCGTCGGTTTTAATTGAGGTATGCGGGTCGGGTTGGGTCTCAGAACTTACGTTCAAACGCTGTTAATCGCATTAATAGATTGAATTTAAGTTAAAACGTATTTACATTCGTACCAATTATATTAGCTAAAATAACTACGAAAAAACCAATCTTAGTTAATACAGATACAGTGACCACATAACCTTACACTGTAATGTTTTTAACAAGGAAGATCAACTGACTAATGTAAATATATATTTATATATTCATAAAGTTAATTAATAGCAAATCCGACTTTAGGAGTAACCAGAAACGGATATAACATTTTCAATACTAATTAAAACATATAATAAATTATCATGAGCTTGGCTCACTCTGGAATTGGTTAGTTATGTTGCTGAAAATATTTCGTAGATTTAGTTAAGGTATAAGAGAGTACAAATGATATAATTAGTAGAAATAAGGACCGTCGGTAGATGGAATCTCAGCCTAGTTAACATTTTACTACAACGAGATGGATTGACGACTCAAAAATGGTAATTAGGATGGACAGGACGCGGAAGGCGAAGTACCGGTTGCTAAGGCGCACGTTGAGAGAGCCCTATAGTCCAACAATGGACTAATTCATTAAATAATTAAGTAAAATACATCTAAACGTCATAACGTGAGAACCGAATTATGTTAACTTGGATCGGGTAATTACCTTCTTCATTCAAAACAAAAAAAAAGTATGTATGTATTTATGTCAGTTGTCTAGTGCCCATAGTAAAAGCTAGTTGTGTGAATGTGATAGAATGTTATTATTATTATTAACATGTCAATATCCAATCCATCTAGTTGTAGTACTCTTAATTTCATCATCATCATCATCATCATCAACAGCCTATAACAGTCCACTGCTGGACATAGGCCTCTCCGTAGAAAGGATGTACTGTTTAATATTTCATATTGGTGACTTATTTTTGGCTTCTTATCCACAGATACGGTCTCCTCGGCGCGTCAGGTTGCGGTAAAACGACATTGCTGTCCTGCATCGTGGGCAGACGAAAACTCAACAGTGGAGAGATTTGGGTGCTTGGCGGGAAGCCAGGAACTAAAGGTGAGGTGATCATAGAAAGTTAAACAGGATTATGTAGTATTGCATTGATATTGACAATTCCAATGGCCATGGGGATATAGATGAATTAAATTGTCTATTAAAGACAGGAGTGGATATGATTATCACATTACTTAGGAATGTTTTGATTTTCTTTATAACAAGATTTTACCGAACTTTTAGTATTTAGGTTTTATTTATAAGCAGAAGGAAGGTTGCAGTATCCCCCGTGATAGTACCGGTTAGACACGACGTCGATTCAGGAGGGGGGAGGGCTGCAATCACAAAGACCGGTCCTCCCCAGAGTAGGAACCTCTTTAAATATGTTGAAAAGATAAAATTACTAGAATAAGTTATTCTATTCGATTTTGCATATAACATTTTATAAAATTGTCCAGCAAGTTTTCTGAAATCTGCATTATTTATAACGTCGGCGTACTATCTATACTAATATTATAAAGCTGAAGAGTTTGTTTGTTTGTTTGTTTGAACGCGCTAATCTCAGGAACTACTGGTCCGATTTGAAAAATTCTTTCAGTGTTAGATAGCCCATTTATCGAGGAAGGCTATAGGCTATATATCATTACGCTAAGACCAATAGGAGCGGAGCACCAATGAAGAATGTTTCGGAGAAAATTTATTACTATTGAGAGACGCAGACGAAGTTGCGCGGGTCAGCTAGTGATATGTAAAATGAGCGATTAGCATAGATACGAAGCCCGAAGAAATAGAATTGTAAAATGAATTATATTATACTTTTATGAAGGTTATTAAGATAGATATTTTTCTCTCCGAGTCTTCGTAAAAGAAGTACGGGGAAAATGGGACGAGGGATTCACAATAAAAAATGACTATTTCTACTCACGGTTCTAAAGAAAATATAGCAATACAGCCTCTTGATTCCGAAGTTACCATTCTTTTCCTATTCGTGAGGTACTGATACTTTGGAACTGGGGACTGATATTCCTTTTTTCACCCTATGTATTCGTTGAATTTCTTTTTCTTTGGTCTCTGGGGACTGGGTCAGAAAGAGATCAGGAACTACTCACAACTTGTTATTTATCATGTTTAAAAATAAATAAGCAGGCAAATAATCAAAAAACCACATTTTCTCCTCCAGGTTCCGGAGTCCCCGGTAAGCGCGTAGGCTACATGCCTCAAGAGATAGCTCTCTATGGAGAGTTCACCATCAAAGAAACCATGATGTACTTCGGCTGGATTTTCGGCATGCAGACCAGAGAGATCGTAGAGCGACTTCGGTTTCTACTTGACTTCCTTGACCTGCCCAGCGAAAACAGGATGGTAAAGAATTTGAGGTGAGTGCTGCACTAATAATACGAGTTTTGATAGTTAACAACATATACACTTTCTTCTAAATGGACTTAAGTAGTCAGAAATTAGTTGAGGAAAAAAGGTTTGATGAAGAATCCTGGAATGCGATGGAGTGGCCACACAACGGGCAAGTACCATACCTAGTACGAAATCACTCCTAGAAGCCTGTGAACGCCCTAGGAGGCTTCTGCGCTTGTGAAATTAGCTTGGTTGGTTCACCTAACCAAGTCCAAATTTGGAAATTGGAGCCCACAATCAACACCAATAGTGTGAAAGTGACATGGCTTGAAAGGGAGTGAATAGAATTCTTAGAGCCTCTATTGAATACCCCGTAGTTTTTATCGATTCTGACATAGTAATTCTCTTAGCCCCGGTGAAGTAATTTCCAAGAGATGACAAATAATGTGTAACTTAACTCAAATTCTCTTTCATCATCGTCATCATCAACAGCCTTTAACAGTCCACTGCTGGAAATAGGCTTCTCCTTAGAAAGGATGCTTTGGCCTACTATACCACGCTGGCCAGACGGGTTGGTATAGGGTTTGTGTCAAGTTTTCCTTCTCTTTGCAGTGTTGTTGTCCTGCGTAGTTTACTCCTTAGTCGGCTCTTGCGACACCTACGGGATGAATAGGGGTGGTGACACTCCGTATTCTTAATCCGTCACCACGCAGACCAAACTCTCTTTAGTTAATAGAAAAATTAAAATTGTTTGAAATTGTCATTTACGTAGACTCTAAAGTCATAGATCAACACACACAATAGCAACAATCTCTCTTTTGTCAAATATTTAGCAAATAAATTTAATCAAAATTTAACTTATACAAAATCTATGACATGCCTGTGCCGATCTACAACCGCCTGTTTAAGGTTTTGAGCCTTATGAGAAGAAAGGGCAAACAAACTCATGGCCACTCATTTGCAATTCACCGATAGATACAATGGCATTATTAAATATACCACAACATTGTTTTGATGTGTGCCAGTATGTCTGTTATTAAGGACTAAAAGGTAAAGAGACAATGAAGAGAATACGAGATTAAAAAAGAAAAATTCGAATAAAAGAGAAAATGAAGTGAAACATAAAAAATAGAAAAAAATGATAATAATAAAAAACACACTAGCCCACACCACATTTAAAGAATGGTAGATTGTATGTTTAATAACTTGAATAAAACAAAAGTCACTGAAGTATCTTACATGGCGTATAAGTTTACTTGCTTGCATGAAATTGATTGCTTTTAGTATGTTATTCAGAGCGTCACTAATTAATACAAGAAACATTTTCGATGATCTTATGAAAACTGGGTTATCGCGGTGGTAGATCATAATAATAATAGTAAAAATACATTGACACATCTCAAACACGGGTTTTAAGTTAGAGAGCATATAGTATGGTCACCTTATACATGAATTCATGTTAATTACGCCCAGCCTTTTAATACAACATCAGAAGTCGAAGATTCAGTAAAACCTTCAGTGAAATGTCTTAATCGAGAAATCTTATTATGAGGGATAAGTAAAATAAAACGTATTAATAATAATATATCTCACACACGGCCGTCTGATCCCAAACTAGGCAGAACCTGTACTACGGTAACCAGACTGCTGATAAACATACTTATATATTTTTAAATACATACATATTACAGACATCCAGACACAAAACAAATGACCGTGCTCATCACACAATATTTGTCCTAGGTGGGAATCGAACCCACGACCTCCGGTTTAGCAGTCAGGGTCACTAACCACTTAACCAACAGGCCCGTCTAGCACTAATTTTGTAGAGATTCTGATTTTCATCTGTTTTTATAAAGTTGCTAGAAAGTTATTTTAAATTAATGTATGTGTTTTTAAGTTACGGTACATCATGGGGTATTATTATTTATTTTTGATTACGTTACTTGAAGAAAGCACTTGTTCTGAATTTACAGAGAGATTTTGGTAATGAAGATTTACAATAATTTTAATAAATCTTAACTTTACAGTACATCTTTGTTTTATCATCAACATCAGCCTTTAACAGTCCACTGCTGGACATAGGCCTCCCCTTAGAAAGGAAGTTTTGGCCTACTACACCACGCTGGCCAGACGGGTTCGTATAGGGTTTGTTTCAAGTTTTCCTTCTATTTGAAGTGCTGTTGTTGTGTGGTATTGCTTTAGTGTATTTATATGCATGAATTTTCGTAAACACGTATCCAGACAAATATAGGTACTATATTTGTGTTTGTGTTTACGAAATAAAATTATCTTTGTAAATTTACTTGCTCAGTTTTATTGACGGGAATTTCGGAGACAACCAACTAGTTACGGATGCGACACACAGTAGTACACACATAGTTGTCAGGTGTTGTCAAATTAACTAAACAATAACGAACGTTTATCCTTAAGAAAGAACTACGGATGGAATAAAATCATATCTACCTGTTTTAAATCATATGATCAAAACTGCGACTAATTTACAATACCACTGCGACTTATTATTATTATCACGCTAGCGCCAGACTCGCGAAAGGTCTGAATCTAAAGAAAAAGTTGTAAACTTTTGATAAAAAGAATTTTGATTGATTTTGATACCATTTATTTTCGTCTATGACGAAATAATAATGTGAGGTGAAATCGCAGTGACAAAAATCAAACATTTAATCATGTGATTATGATTCAAAAATTGGCAATAATTACCATGTCTACTCGTAGAAAGACCGGTGGGTGAGCCAAGCTTCACAAGTGGGACGCCTCAACTAGAGTGCTACCGAAACACCGAACTCACAGAAAACCGGTGTTAAGTGACCATTTCGTTGCTTTTTTACCGAGGGAGTGAGGTTACCGCAGCCGAAACGTCTCTGATTGTAGGAAAGAACTCAAAGGGAGTCATTCCGTGTATGGCTCTAGAGTTGCAAGTAGTTATTTATTTGCCCTCCGATATCATTTAAAAACAAACTTGAACTGACTGGAAAGCCGAGGCCGAACTTAATAGTACAAAGTAAACTTGGTTTGGGTCCAGCGTTGAGATACACGTGCTATCTCTTAAGTGATTTACTTCTAAGATACTCGTATTGATAAATTATTTAATTAGTGTCAAAGAGATCAGGAAACCATGAGTTAATGATGTGTTTACCAACCACTATTTACTCGGCCATTGTTTCCTGGTGGTTCTTAGTTTGTATATCAATATACGGTTATTATTAATACGGGAAGAAAATACTTTGTACCCCAATTTAAACAAATATGGCGCTCGGAGGACAATTCTCGTAAATTCAGTTCCGATCTACTTTCGATCTCCTAAATATTATAAAAGCTATTCTCGTAGTAAAGTATTAACCACCCAACTTTGACTGTAATGTGATTAAATCGTATTGTGAACAAAAGTTGAATCGGTATTCTTTTTCTTTTTTTTTCTTTTTTAAAAAAAGACAACGCCCGCATTAGGAATAAATCCTGTGTCGCGGGGGACTTTACAAACATACATGAAACGGACACAAAGAACACCCAGACTCAGAACAACAATTTGTGGATCACACAAAGTGTCGTCCCATGTGGGGTTTGAACCCACAACACTCGGCGTAGTAGGAAGCGGCGTGGCGACCGCTTAAACCACTACGCCATCCGTGCAGTCATTCTGCTAGTCTTAATAGTAATACTTTATTACATTAGTACGACCTTCTAGAATACTAAATGTTTATTGTATATATTTATATTAATAGGCAAAATTATGTAGAAGGAGCGCATAAAGTTAAAATTGTTGAACTATGTGTCTCCTCATTCGCATCCTTTTAAAGAGAACGGAAACTTGAGTTGTGGTTATAGTTATGTAAACTTTTTAAATGATTTTAAAGGAAACTGTGAACGTGATGAAACATTATTGACTTTCAATATTAACATGACAGCGTTCTCGGCAGATGTGACGACTTGTTTACTTTAAATATAAGAGCTTCGTAGTAAACTGTTAATATTACATTTTAGATACTTTAAAATAGACATCTTGTTTCCGGTACATTTGCAAAGTTTCCATTCCAATTTTTGAGGTATTACCCAAGAAGGTAGCGTAAGGTATTTCAGGTATTTTAACAAAAGTAAATAATACAAATCCAAGAAACAAATAAGTTATCTTAAGAGAGCCGTGCTTCGGCCTCACAAAAAAAAACATTAGCAAAACTTTCGTTCATTTTCACCATCGAGTAAGGTCTTCATAAGAATAACCTTCCCCCCCCCCCCCCTCCCCTGTCTCTCTTTCCATAACTCTGGCGGGGATCCTCGTTGACCGGCAAGCCAGTAAAACTAGGCAAGTTACTAAAACCTATAAGAAGCAAGTAAAAACAAGAAGCACATTGAATGTCATTGCATTCCACAAGTGTCATTACACTTACGTGGATAATATTTTTATCCAGACGCTGCTTTTCTAAAGATCTCGAGAGGCTGTTTATATAAACTTGTGTTAATATTTTTAAATTGTACTTCGAAAAACATTTCTTTGAAACTAATCTTACGTGACTTGTGACGGTGGTACATAATTAATTACTCATAATTTTGTATTTTATAATAGGTCTTTTACCTATGTAGTTGTAGATTTTTTAAACCAGCATTTTCAGGTTTTAGTTTTAGTTTTTCAATTAGTGGGCAATTCGTCATACAAATAAATTTTATTCATTTGTTTCTTTTGCAAAATTGTGGTATTTATTGGCGCCATAGATAAACTGAAAATTCTTACAATTTATAATATTATTGCAATTAATAATATACTAATATACAATGTATATATATTCGTACAAATATGAGTTCTTATTTGGAAATACCGCTGCGCAAACAACACGAAACATTAACGATGTGTACGGGTCTAACACTGCTTGCATAAACACGGTCCATTATTGGTTCAATCGGTTTAGATCTTTTACGTTAAGTAAACGAGTTTCGCTGATGGCCGGTAACTATGGTCGAAAAAAAAGCTAGATAAGTGGGTGCCACACGAAGTAAATGACCATCAGCGAGACTTACGTGTCGAAGCATGCATAGCACATCTGAATCGGCAACGAACGAGGGAATTTTGAATCGAATTGTTATCTGCGAATGAAAGTGGATCCTCTACGACAACCTTAAGCGTTCGTCTCAGTAGGTGGACAAAGCAGGTAGAAGATTATGGTGACTATCGAAAATAATTAATTTAAATCATGGCAACCACTGCTTATGGCCATTTTTAAATGACAACCAGAAGTTATCGTGTACAGCAAATATTAAGCATTTGTTGTAATATTAAAATTTATTAAAAAACAGATGACTATAAATAATGAACAGTAATATACCTGTCAATCTAAAGGTTGCGGCTGACTGGGAGCTGGCAAACATTGTTTTTTTTTAATTCTTTACATCAGTTGATTTTAAATGGCGTATAATTTACTTAAAAAAAAACATACACGATTACTCGAAATTTATATAAATTACACTAAATTTAATAACAAATAATTGCTGCTAATTGCATACTCACTAATAATAATTTTAAATTAAGTTTCACTGAAAAAACAGATACCGAGTGGTGGATCCAAGGGGATTTCCGCAAAGAAAAAAAGGCTATTTCCTGCAATCTGTTGTAGTGTATTCATGAAAAGAGGCTTTAATAACAACGTAAGACATCTTTTAAATACCTCGCCAATGTTATTATTTTAAGTATATTAAGATTTTATCACAAAAAGTATTTTTTACCAATTGGTCTAAATGTGTTTGTTTTCTATGTTACGCACTTCCTGCTTCAATGTTGAGTGGAAAAAAAAGGAGTAATCGAAATCCAGTCTATATGTGGAAATAACTAAATAAATATTGACCTTTTATGTACAAATAAATATCTGTAAATGACGTTAGGTGTTTAAACGCGTACAAATGCATTCGACACGGTTGTTGTACTCGTAAGTGGCGTGGCTAAAGACTAATGGCTTTACTATTCACTTAGAGAATGGTTGTGATTTAAAGTGGGTTGAAAAGCTTCTGACATTCCTTTTGTTTTTAATTTACTAGAAATGATGATGTTATCATAAAGTAAAAGAGGCAAGGTTTCCACTTTCGGTTCATTCATCTGAGAAGAAAAAACTTTAAAGAAGTCTGACCAAAGACATTTGATTGAAAAGCCTTTGATGCTAGATTCCGTAAAGCCCTCGTGATAAAACTGAAATTTTGACCATTATCAAATGATCCTTATATCGCGTAAAAAGACTCATCCAATCCTTAACCGCCAGCCAAAGTTAGATATTTTTTTATGTACGTGTTCAGTAAAAAACTAACTCTAGGAATTCTCGTTTATTACTCTTCTAATACACTTATTATGTCAATCGTCACTAGGTTACATGCCTAAAGACATGTTAGTTTTTTTGTAACTCTTTTAGTAAAATCTAATATGGTAACAGGAACAGGAATTACGTCAAAATGCGTAAAACCGTTCGTTGAGTGGTTCCCTTGCTTATTTAAATGCTGTACAGAGCACAATGCACTTTGTAGAAGGCGTAATATTTAACAATGTGCTAATTTAGTATTTTAGTATACTTAGAACTTTTAAGAGGATATTATAAGAACTAGGCAGACCTAGTGCTTATTATATCCTCTTCTTTTTGAACCGCGTTCCAATAAAGTACAGTTATAATTATTTCAAATATATATACTTTCATCCGATTCTTCGGATCGATCTTTAGAGAATCGAATCAAATGCGATCCGTTCCGAATCGAATACAGATAGGGCGAGGAAACCCGGACGAGACTTAACCCAAGTCTCTTATTAGCAACTCTACCTTTATATATTATAAGTGACTTCGATGGTGCCCAAATTAACCCACTTAGATTAAAGTCATATACTACGTAACAAGGTGATGGAATACTTTTACCATTAGAAACATAGATAATTCCAGAAGGTATATCCCAGACTAGCCAATTACGCAAACTAACTTAAAAACAGAGTTAAGTTCTCCGGAGATAAGTCAGTGGCGGTAAAAAGAGGATCGAAAAGAATCGCCGGTTTCTTAAGTCCCTCGTAGAGGTTGAGTCTTATTTTTGCATTTGAGCCCACCAATGAATGACAGCGGGAGGGGTTGATTCGATTATGCAGACATTGAAGATAATATTTCATAAACCCATCCACTTTCGCCATTACAATAAAAATGAATCTCAAATGTTGAGAGGAGAAATTTTATTAGATATTATTATCAATTGAAAGTTTTGTATTGTGCTTTTGTATTATGTATTGTTATTGTATTCCAAGGTCGTCCATAGAGTTACGTAATAGCAGTGGTGGAAAGTTGTTACGTCATTATGATTATAGATTGATATTACATGAAAGGAGACATAAACCAATAGTGATAATTAGGACCTCTGATCTTTACTGTAAAGCTGTAAAACATTAATAATAACTTTACTTAATATTAACTTTAGTTCATCAATAGTCTTTAATAGTTCACTCTTTAGAAAGGAGGTTATGGCCTACTATACCACGTAGGCCAGACGCAGGGTAGGGTAGGGTTTGTGTCAACTTTGTCATGTCTTTGCAGTGCTGTGGTCTTGTGTAACTTTAGTTACGACGTATAAAAAGTATAAGAAATGATCTAAATCTCAATATTTACCCCCGGATCTATAAATATACCGAGACTTCATTTTCATATACTAATAAAATTATCGTAAATATTGTTAACGTATTTTCTAAGGAGGGGCCTACGTCCAGCAGTGGACTATTAAAGACTATTAATGATGATGATGAAATATTTTTCAATTCTCATGTATTTTTTATGTCACTAAGGGTGCGAATTACCTATGGATATTTTGAAGACTACTTTAGTCCCACATACGTAGGTACTAGTAGGCGAGCCTCTTGCCGTCAACCGGGCACTTACACATATATATTTCTAAATACATGCATATAACAAAGCGTATATTTCTAAATAGAAACTGAATTAAAAAGTAAGAAAGAGCTCCACTATCCACCTCTTGTTTCATTAGTTGGCGAATTATAGTATTGTCATCCAAACTGCAGAAATCTTCGACATGATTAGTAGAAATATCTGTTTAAAGTTATTTACCAGTAACTATGTAAATAAATCCTACTATCATGTATGATCATGATTACTGAACGACTTACAGAAAGAAACTGTAATGGATAAGTACATTTAAGCATTACGGAGGTAATTTAGTTCCGACTTTAGTCCAACAAGTTACGGTTTTAAATCTTTCAGCAACTACAAATATATTCTTTTTATTGGCAGTGGTGGTCAACAACGGCGGGTATCCTTCGCCGTGGCTCTCATGCACGATCCTGAGCTGCTTATCCTGGACGAGCCGACGGTGGGAGTAGATCCTCTGCTACGACAGTCTATCTGGACCCACCTTGTCAGAATCACCAGTTCTGGAGATAAGACAGTCATCATCACCACTCATTATATTGAAGAGGCTCGCCAGGCGCATTGTGTGAGTATTTTATTCTTAACAAGCTTTTAACCGCGGGTAAGACGTTTTTCAATTTATTTTTTCTTGATAAAAAGTAGCTATTGCTCTATCCAAGACTAAAATCTATCTTTGTGCCAAATTTCCGTGGCCGTCACGCCGCTGCCTACTACGCCGAGTGTTGTTAGTTCAAACCCCACATGGGACGATACTTTGTGTGATGCACAAATTGTTGTTCTGAGTCTGGGTTTACTTTGTGTCCGTTTTATGTATGTTGTATGTTTGCAAAGTCCCCCGCGATACAGGATTAATTCCTAGTTCAGTTAAATTCATCTGAAAATTGGCTCTTTCTCCATCGCAACCGACCACGTTAGCGTTGCATTTCTTTCCCTTAGAAATTATGGATATTAGACCCTTGTTGTTATTGAACCAGAGAAATTAGATGCGATATGCATTTGCCTTTATTATAGTAAAGTAATATCTATCGACAACGAGAGGCGATTCGTGTGTAAGTATCGAACTACCACACGATCACACGTACCACCCGGCCTATTTTAGTTTATAAATCAGCCCAACACGTCGACACCGCTATGTACTTGAAGCTTCTTACACACAGAAGTGGGCCTGGCCTGCGTAAACTTAATAATGTGATAATATATAACACATATATTACAAACATCGGCTGTTAAATAACATATTTAGAGGTCATTAGAAGTATGCATAACTATTGCTATTACTGCTAACCGCTAAAGCTAATAGTTAGGATGATATGTACTTTAAATTGTCGGCGACCTGAATCCAAGGAAGACAAAATGTTGTATAAAAAATGGTTACAACAAAAACTTAACTTTACACTTTGACCAATAACGAAAATATGTTGACAAAAAGTTATGTAAGGTTAAAATAGAATTTAATCCGTAAAAACAATAATGTTTAGTAAAAACTTGATCAATTAATTTACGATTGGATATAAAAGGTATCCGTCATGTCTGGGTCTAATTTTAGAGTTCAAAAATAAAAAGAAAAAACAGGCAACAAGAAAGAGAACCAAACTTATGTAATTTAGGAAGGTCTATCCTCTTAAAGGTCAATAAAAAATAAGTAAATTGAAGATTATTTTAATTTATGATGAACATACAAAATATTTTAATGTGTAGCGAATTCAAAAATTATGTTAAAACGACGATGTTATAATCGTATTATAATGGGCAGTGAAGTAAATTATAGCCCAAATTGAACCACTTGTCGAACTCTAGTAGGTATATATAAGTTGATATGTAACGGGCTTACTAACACGTTCACGTCAAAGGTTTTATTCAAAATTCATAATTAATATCTGATTGCATCGTGGCCAGTGTATTTCCATTTAATAATTCTGTATTTACTGAAAAAAAGTGACCTAATATGCTATTTTTTGTCCCTTTCTGAACTCATAGTACTCACTCTGTGTAGTCTCGATCTAGATAGAGCTATGTGATATCATAATCTTCTTCTCCTACCAATTATGTAATGGGTTATCATGATGTGAAACCGGCAGTCTACCCGACACTCACTGTCTTTAAGAATATAATCGTCTTCAATCGGGACTTGGATTAGGGCGAGAATTAAGATAAGAAAACCAGATAGAGGAAATCTCTTATCAGAAACTTTGCTAAGACTGCATTAGCTCTAAGAGACTAAGTCGCGTACCTTTATATTCGTCTTGTGAATCAATAAATTGTTGTTTAAAAAGACAACTCCCGCATTAGGAATATATCCTGTGTCGCGGGGGACTTTACAAACATACATGAAACGGACACAAAGAACACCCAGACTCAGAACAACAATTTGTGAATCACACAAAGTGTCGTCTCATGTGGCGATCGGACCCACAACACTCAGCGTAGTAGTGAGCGGCGTGTCGACCGCTTAAACTACTACGCCATCCGTGCAGTCAAAATATTTCCTGAGCGGTCTCATACTCCATACGTCATACAAATTCTCAAGTCTTTTATTCTAGAGACATATATATATGTAACGTCCACATTCACAGCGCCTCATACTGTTGTCGCAACGGCTTATGAACTTTACGGGTCTTCAAAAAACTTAATATCCAAACTAAAGCTTTCTTGGTGTAATAAATATATAAAGATAATCAGAGCGGTTAAACTAAATACGTTAATTTTGCACCGTCTAACCTGCTTTTACTAATAAATATTCAAAATGACTCAGTATAAACTTTGACAAGGTGTCATAACTCTCGACACACTTCGCGTTAAATTATGGAGTTTTTTTTTCGCATTAAAAACCTCAAAAGGCTACGATGGAGGCCTCGATGCTTCCTCGTTTTTATACACTTGAATATCATTAGCATATACATATATTTAAACTACGCGTTAAATACATTAGCGAGTTTTGAAAAGTAGCAAAAATATAATTTTTTTATTTACGTTTTTTGTTTTGTAACGCTCGAGTCACGTGTAACAATGCGTAAGTTAAAAATGACCACTTACAACAGAGTAGAATATCTATTAACTTTATAAAAATCATCACCGAATTGTAATAAGTGAATTTTTTAATCAGTAAATTTCCACCCTTTGGTATTTTCAAATTTAAATGGGGCCAAACAGAAAGCAAACCCTCCAAAATAAAAGAATTTTCCAAATCGGTTCAGTCCATCATTTTAAAATGAAAATTAAAGATTAGTCACTCACTATTGTAGTGCACTAAACGTACTATGACATAGGAAGCCGTTGACATTAGTATTCCTTTTTTTTGAGTTTCGCTATTTTATTTGTCAAAATTTGATTTCATCAACCTATCGCAGTCCACTGTTGGTCATAGGCCTCTCCCATTGCATGCCACTTAGATTGTTTTTCGGACAGAGAATTTAGTTTATTAATCTTAATTTCATATGATGTAATAGAATTTGCTACATTTTGTTATAACTATCTGTTTTTTTTAATGGCCGTGAATTCGTATCGTCGGATTTCTTCTTACGCTACTCAACGATTTTGAAAACGGGCGCATAATATTTTAATCAATGCAAGCAGAGTTGTTATCTATTTCTTGAATAAATTTTGCTAAGCATGCTATGAATTTAGCTAAGCAACCTATTGTTGCGATTATTGTTTATAAAAATATATTGAACTAGCTATGGATATTATTTCTTAGTCCCTAACTTTGAAAATGTCGAACTTCTATACAACCACTTATTATACCCTCTCAAGGGTGCAATTTCCAAAAATCCTTTCTTAGTGGGTGCTTACAACATAAAAAACATCAACTGCCAAAACGTAAAGTTTATAGGGCAGCGGCTTAGACTCTGCATTGATAAATCAGTCAGTGAGGGTAAGTAATCTATACTAATATGTATTATAAAGCTGAAGAGTTTGTTTATTTGTTTGTTTGTTTGTTTGAACGCGCTAATCTCAGGAACTACTGGCCGATTTGAAAAATTCTTTCAGTCTCAGATAGCCCATTTATCGAGGAAGGCTATAGGCTATGTATCATCACGCTAAGACCAATAGGAGCGGAGCACCAATGAAAAATGTTTCAAAAACGGAGAATGTTACTATTGAGAGACGCAGACGAAGTTGCGCGGGTCAGCTAGTTAATAATAACCTCACACATCTCACACACGGCTGTCTGATCCCAAACTAGGCCGAGCCTGTGCTTGGGGACCTGAAATAACATGGTCCGGGTCCTCCTCGGAATAGGGGCCCGAGTCCGGCCATCGGAGTGGTTTTTAGATGAAACACCACATACTCCTGGCTCCTACATCACCAAGGAGCTGGAGATCCGAACTGATTATCCACCACGTCAACAAAAAAACAAGGCTGAGCCTGTGCTATGGTAACCAGACTGCTGATAAACATACTTATATATTTCTAAATATATACATATTATATAGAAATTACACCCAGATATAGAACAAACGATCGTGCTCATCACACAAATATTTGTCCTGGGTGTTAATCGAACCCACGACCTCCGGTTTAGCAGTCAGAGTCACTAACCACTAGACCGACAGGCCCGTCGAAATTTATGTGTATACATTTCTATTGTAGATTCTCTATAGTTTTGCCATAAGAGTAAATTCAACAGGGCCTCTCTCGGTTTGTTGAAAAGCAAATATTACAGTTGCAAAGTAAATGGACTTTGTATTTATTGGCACGTTGATGTCATTGTTAGATTTGCAAAATTTAATGGTATTTACGTGATCATTGTGTAAATTGCCTCTAACATATTTGTACACTATAACATGTCAAATATAATGAGTAATGTGTAACTTTTAAAGGCTAAATAGTTTTGTCGTCCTTTTATTACTCATAATGGCATAAGACGTCCAGCGGTGTTTCTAAACACTTCTATAATAAGCCGTTTTGCGTGGTCTACAGAAAGAACTTCAGATTTTTTTTTATAAAATCACCATTAGGAATATATCCTGAGTCGCGGGGGACTTTACAAACATACATGAAACGGACACAAAGAACACCCAGACTCGGAACAACAATTTGTGGATGACACGCCGCGTGTTTGAACCCACAACACTCACTCAAGAGCAGTATAAAAAACAATTTAGTACCTTACACTCTTAACTCATACCAAATCTAGCTGATTTCATTACAGTGGGTTTGCAATAAATTTTAGTTGAAGTTACTTCCACATACAACCAAAAAGAAACGTACTTCAATATCTTCTACAGGGGAAAAACTGAACTGCAAATTGAATATTAATCGTGAATCGCCCTATGAAAATCCACTCGCCTCTCGATTAGTATATGTACATAATAATATATGTATACAACTTCCAAAAATCAACCGTTAGAGAACGTTCCAAAAATACATGTCAATAGTAAGATCGGAACGTTTAAAACTCTAAACTTTTTGAGTTTTCACAATCATTTCTTGCAGCTTAAGGGAGCTAACAGTCATGGTGATAAAACTAATTAAATCTGGATACTAATATTATGTTAGTCAAAAAATGAGCGTCGCGAACTAGTCGTAAGAAGTTTGATGATCTTAGTGTATAATATTGGCTGTCGGAGGCCACGTTCGGAGTCACGTGTCCGTTACGACATGGACTTTGGCTAAGATGCCTTCTCTGACTGTTACGACAAACATCACACGTACATACCAAGGGTATAGCAACTACTAAAAGTTAACTTCGTAAAATGAAATACTGGTTAGATGTATTTTAAACGACTTTAAATTGTTGTTGTGTAATAACGTCGGTCTTATTTCAAAGTAAGGTTACTTTGAAATATCTCACACACGGCCGTATGATGCCAACCTAGGTAAAGAGTACTACAGTAACCAGATTGCTGATAAAAATACTTATATTAAAAAAAACAGATAAATTGCACTCAGACGCAGAACAAGGGATCGTGCAGACGACTTCTGAGGGCCTTTTTTCTTCGGGGGTCAGAAGCCAGATGTATGTGGTTATTCCACTAAAAACCACTCGACCCGGACCATGTTCTTTCAGGTCCTTTCCTAATTGACGCCATGTCTAATCAGACCCTATCCCAGGGGAAATTGCGTCTTATTGCAATCAGGCCGCCATCCTATCCCCTACCGCATCAATCAATCTGCCACCAGAGGTCCCCACTCTCTGTGAGCCCGCGGCCCCGTCGACGGCAGGTATCGTCGCCGACCTCCTCTACAAATGTGGTTTATTGTTGCGATTGAGCCCCTTGGCTCAGTAGTCAGGTTAGTTGCGGCTGTGAGTACCCCACACAGTAGACTGTCGATTGTTACCCAGTCCCAAACAAAAACTGTTTACTTATGTAGGGTTACAAGAGTAATAATTTATTACTTATATAGTGACTGTCAGTAACTTTTAATGAGAAGGGGAACCGGTTGTAGTGTTATATTGCGAAGGTATAGATACGTTACATCTCTATATATTATACAATAAAATTCCCCTTCCTCTTCTATTTGTCATTCTATCTCTCTGTTTCATCATCATCACATCAACAGCCTTTAATAGACCACTACTGAACATAGGCATCTCCTTAGAAAGGAGGTTTTGGCCTACTATACCACGCTGGCCAGACGGGTTGGTTTAGGGTTTGTGTCAAGTTTTCCTTCTCTTTGTAGTGCTGTTGTCCTGCATGGTTTGCTCCCTTAGTCGCCTCTTACGACACCCACGGGATGAATAGGGGTGGTGACACTCTGTATTCTTAATCCGTCACCACACGGATCTTTCTGTTTAAACGTGATAAACTCTAAAAATACTATAAAAGTTATAAATTTGCTTAAAATATAACGATTGTAAAAGTATCGCGTATGTTGATAGAGATTTGAAAATATATATTCTCTATGAAAGGAATGAAAGTGGAGGTATACCTCCTGTGCTCCCCGTGTGAACTCGGGACGGTTTGCTACTGATGAATAGAAATATTTGCATGGTTTATAAATCAATCAAATGTTACTGTGGTACTCGTAATTAGGTTTAAGGTTTTAAAAACCTTGCAGATGTGTTCGTTTTTCTCATCGCTTTTTTATATCCGTCAAATGTACGTGAATAAATTTAGAAATTATTGTAATTTTTATGGTAAGTTAAACCATCTTGAATAAACTTAATTAAATATCTCATTATCATGGCTTATATTTAGTTTGGGGCCGGTTTACGTAAACCTGAATAGATTATGATACGTTCGGCTCGACCGGAGTGATAGGTACTACGGCTGCACAGAAAACCGGTGTTAAGTAAATATTTTAAAGACTTTTCACTGAGTGAGTGGTTTTCCCTTGAGCCCAACTCCTATCCCCCTTGTTCTTATCTTATCTCCATTTGGTTCTCGGGGTGACTCAAAGGACGGCGGTAGAGAATCCCCCCTTTCTTTGAAATTCGGTTAAAAAGATCATCCATACGTACTAATATTATAAATGGGCAAGTGTGTCTGTCTGACTGTTACGGAAGGAAAGAACATAAGGTAGCTTTTATCCCAGAAAACATCCTTTAAGTGGGGTTGAAGTTTGTATGGGGAATCAATAACAGCTGAACCGATTTAGTTGAAATTTGGTATGACGTAGCTTTGATTTTCGAGATAAGACATAGGTACACAAACACTACAATTCCTACAAACGGACTTCTCACGTTTGACCGCAGTCATAAATGTAGACAAACAAAAAATGTGTTAGTTCGACAAAAACTCTATGTTATAAAATTAATCTTAAGGTCTAACGCTGGTAATAATTATTATGACGTAAAAACTTAATGTTGATTTCAAAAGAAACAGTTGCAACATAAATTATGTTTTTATAGCACTACACTTGTAAACAAGTCTATGGTAAACTACAGCCTTGACCCGTGGTCGTCAGCAACAAAATGAAAAATATTTTCATACCGCTTGGATATGAACATTCACTTTAATAGTCCACTGATGGACACAGGCCTCTCCTTAGGAGGTTTTGTCTACTGTACCACGCTGCCCAGACGGGTTGGTATAGGGTTCGTTTCAAGTTTTCCTTCTCTTTGTAGTGCTGTTGTCCGGCGTAACTTGCGCCCTTGGTCGCCTCTTACGACACACATGGAATAAATAGGGGTGGCGACACTCCTTATTATTTATCTGTCACGAGACGGACTCAACCGGAGTGATACTACAGCCTCCCAGAAAACCGGTTTTATGCAATTTTTTCGTTGCTATGCACCGAGTCAGTGAAGTTACAGAACACATTATAAATGTTTGTTTGTTTATTCCACCATAACTTTAAAGGCCTGAAGAAATTCAGATGTAGTAGGTAGGAGTGACACTGTCAGACTACTAGACTGTCTTTTTTTTTTAATTCAATTTGTTGACAGTATGGTGGTCGTAACTTGGTACTACTACTAACCAAGCTCGTGTGTGCTACTTTGAAAATTGTGTAATATAAACTAATTCAGCTTAGAGAATAATAATATTTCAATGTTTGATGTTGCTTTTACAGATTGGTTTGATGAGAAGCGGTCGACTGCTTGCCGAGGAGTCACCGCAAGCCCTTCTCACCATGTACAGCTGTATCTCCCTCGAAGATGTCTTCCTCAAACTCTCCAGAAAGCAAGGTAAGGATATTCACATTAATGATATCCAGAATTTTTACTCTACAACACGACATGGTCCACTTTTAAAGAGAGAATACATGTATTTTACGCGTTTTACTTGACAGTTTTGGCATTTTACACCTGTTAAAAAAAATGTGTCGTAGGAATTTAAATTGTTACGGCATTAACAGCCCTTTTAACTAATTACAGTGCTTCTATAGGCTAATATTCAAGCAATGGTGATATAATGATCAAGCCGTAGTTTGGTAGTGGTAGCTGTTAGATCACATCACGGTAACACTATCTCATTGTAGTCATAGTACCAGAATTCATGTTTAACATCTTTCCACTCGAGTTCCTGCAATCTGTAGGCATAGACTCGCTAAATGTAACCCATCCATTTTCTTTTAACTTTCGTTTACAGGCAAGCGTTTATTCTTAGTACCAAACCCTTAAAGCCCAAGTTTAATCATATTTAGGCTCGTTAGTTCCTACTGTTTCATTGACTACAATACGATTTCACCAGCGCGTGTGCCACTTATTAAAATAAAGTAATTGTGCTTAGGTATATAGCTTACAACATATGACACAGCCAGCCATAGTAATTACGGGTCGAACAAATGAGTCCTAAACAAAAGCAGCTCGTAAACTTTAAAAGACGTACAATAAAATAATTTAGTACATAATGGTAATTATAAGTGCATTATTAACTGGGCTTTTGTACGCGTTTCATTTCAACACCATGATAAACATAATTTGTATGAAGTGTTATACCCAGTAGTGTACTGCACAGATGGCGTAGTGGTTTAAGCGGTCGCCACGCCGCTTCCTATTACGTCGAGTGTTGTGGGTTGAAACCCCACATGGGACAACACTTTGTGTGATCCACAAATTGTTGTTCTGAGTCTGGGTGTACTTTGTGTCCGTTTCATGTATGTTTGTAAAGTCCCCCGCGACACAGGATTTATTCCTAGTGCGGGAGTTGTCTTTTATAAAAAGAAAAAAAAAAAGTGTAATTGGTACGATGTTAAGTTCTTTTATGGTATAGAAAGTAAACGCAGACGGGTCACCTGAAAATAAGTGACGGCAGCCCGTGTACACTTATCCATCCGAGTGCCATCCTTTGAGTCATATCATCACACATTAACAGCCTTTAGTAGTCCACTGCTAGACATAGGACTCTCCTCAGAAAGAAGGTTTTGATCTACTATACCGTGCTGGCCAGACGGGTTGGTATAGGGTTTGTGTCAAGTTTTCCTTCTCTTTGTAGTGCTGTTGTCCTGCGTAGTTTGTTCCCTTAGTCGGCTCCTACGACACCCACGGGATGAATAGTTGATGCGACATTCCGTATTCTTAATCCGTTTCAAACAATGCACTCATAAATTGAACATGAAGATGTTCAAATAAAACATTTTATGAGAGAAATAATTGTCCGAATCGGTCATGTCCCATTTATGTAGGACCTTGCATTGTGGCGACTCTAAGGTCGGGCGGACACGCAAACGCCTCGGCGACGATTTAATTCAAAGAAATTGATGCAACTGTTTCCATTTAAAATCATCTTTTATTTGAAGCAATTATGTTCAAGAACTGTTGTCTTCTGTTTGTTAAGACTTTTAAGATCAATCTACGCTTCTATGCTAATAATGTAGAGTTAAATATATTTTTGGCTTTGTGCTTTGCCATAATATGGTTTCAAATATACCCCAGTGTAATAATCCAGTTCAAACTCAGCAGAGATTGTACTATAAAGGTTAGTTTGAATGATAGAATACATGTAAATACATACAAAATATACATAGAAAACACCCAAACTCCGAAACGAAACAAATATTTGCAGATCTTACAAACATTTGGTCCAACTCGGGAATCGAACCGGAGACTTAAGCACAGCAGTCGCACACGCTACCACTGCACCTGACTAGTAACAAGCATTGGAAAGATTAACAGAAATACCCTTAATAGTTAACCTATATTCTTTGATAATACCACATTTTAATACCCAACCACAATAAAAGTAAAAAGAAATCCTCCATCCACCTCCTAAGTCCTACAACAGACCATCGCTACTACTACTAAACCCAATCTGTCGGACTCGAAGTTGTCAAAACTAATCATTGGTAATCCTTAATTGACTGCACGAATGGCGTAGTGTTTTAAGCGGTCACCTCGCCACTTCCTACTGCGCTGAGTGTTGTGGGTTCGATCCCCACATAGGACAAAACTTTGTGTGATCGACAAATTGTTGTACTAAGTCTGGGTATTCTTTGTGTCCGTTTCATGTATGTTTGTAAAATCACCGCAACACAGGATATATTCCTACTACGGGCGCTGTATTTTAAAAAAAAACATGGGATTTGCTGAAAGCCCTTCAAGAGTTATGTTATGTACCTCTTGCCTCCACCATCAGATCAGCCTCAAGATGTCATGTACAGATACCAAGTTTAATTACGATATAAGCCTGTTAAAAACGACTTTTATTTCCCAAAATAATTTAAAGATTCGAATTGCAAATCATATTCCCCATTTCACCAATACTTTTAAATGCATTTTTTAATATGTCTAGTATAAATGTCAAAAATATGTCTTGGGATAAATTCGCCAATTGTAAGAATGTGCAATGCGTACAATTATTTAAACGCGAAGAATTTTGGAAATCTGGATATATTTCGTGAGAAACAAGCACATTTTAAGAATATTATAAATAAATGTATGGTACATATAGATTTTTGCAAATAAATATATATATATATATACATATAAGATTATTACATTGCATGATTTGTGCTTAGCATTTTATTGTTAAATGTAAATTTGCAAAGGTCTTAATAGTTATCGAACATGGAAATTATGTAAATTATCTCGTATCTCTCAAGGTAGTTAACATAAAATGGTAGATGCTGTGGACACATATTATTTTTGTATGTACTAGATTAAGACATTATGCATATTAGCTCTTAAGACGCTATTGTACAATACATTGTTTTTGTTCCTTAAAATAAATAAATATCTACCATTGCCGCTAGTAATTTCCCAACCCTTATAAAACTAATGACAATACTAGTACACAATAAGAGGTTGCGTGGTGACGTTTAAATTGCTCGTGCGCAGTCAAGGGTGATGCACTATCCATTGTTAGATGTAACCTGAATGATCTGTCTTGTAACGGTTTACGCTCAATGTATTTGAATTGACTAATTAAAATTAAATTACGACACGGTAATTGAGTACGCACGCGCTTATAGGCTATTTTATAGTTGTTGCACATCCTATCTTCCCGTGACGATTCGATCCCCACATGGGACGACACTTGAGATCAACGAATTGTTCTTCTGAGTCTGGGTGTTCTTTGTGTCGGTTTCATTAATGTCTGTAAAGTCCCTCGCGACACAGGATATGTTTCTAGTGCAGTAGTTGTCTTTTAAAACAAAAGAATAAATAAAAAAATATTTATATAATATAATAAATATATAAAAGTCCTTGTGGTGACTGATTAAGAATACGGAGTGTCACTACCCCTATTCATCCCGTGGGTGTCGTAAGAGGCGACTAAGGGAGCTAACGTAGGACGATCAGCACTGCAAAGAGAAGGAAAACTTGATACAAACCCTATACCAACTCGTCTGGCCAGCGTGGGATAGTAGGCCAAAGCCTCCTTTCTAAGGAGAGGCCTATGTCCAGCAGTTGACTATTAAAGGCTGTTGATTAATGTTCGGTGCATATTTGTACAAGCATTGAATCTATGAAACCCTGACTTGCCTGATTTGCTCCTACTTCTCTTCATATACCTTTACTTTAGATTTGCTACCAATCTTCCCAGTCATTCCTTAAAGTGCCGGACTGACGGCAATAGGCTTGTCTGACTTGTTCCCTGTTACGTAAGTTTAACTAAAATTATGAAAACAGTTACAAAATGGTAAGCTCAGTTTGTTATTGTTTTACTTACTAGAAATAAGTCGGTATTGGTCATTGTTTAATAAAAAAGATATCATCTTCACAATGATGTCATAGCTTATCTTAACAACGATCTAAAAAATTTTTAATAGTTAAATAAAAATGACTCAAGTATATGTTTTAAAAACAAACTTTTGAGATTGTATCTTACATCATTTTTAAGTAAAAAATTAAATCTAAAAGTCATGATGATTGGTTAAGTAATTAAAGCATAAAATCGTTACAAACAAACCAACTCTTTCGCATTTAAAAATTAGCTGGAATTGAAATTATCACCAAGTTCTACATTAGATTTCTGCCATAATTTTTAGTCATCATAGTCATAAATCATTTCATCTTTTGACTGCACGGATGGCGTAGTGGTTTAAGCGGTCGCCACGCCGCTTCCTACTACGCCGAGTGTTGTGGGTTCAAACCCCACATGGGACGACACTTTGTGTGATCCACAAATTGTTGTTCCAAGTCTGGGTGTTATTTGTGTCCGTTTCATGTATGTTTGTTAAGTCCCCCGCGACACAGGATATTTTCCTAATGCGGGAGTTGTCTTTTAAAAAAATAAAATAAATAAATAAATCTATATGCTTATTTCTTAATTAATTTAGGGTCTTCGCAATGACATTTCCTCTTCCATTCTCCTCTATCATTCGTTAATTCAGCTCTCACTCTCTTTTTAACCACGTCCCACATTACTTAGTCCATCCATGTTTTCTGTCACCTTCATAAAACTTTCTTCACCACATTTTGCTCTTTCTCTGCATCACATTTCTGATGCATGTAGCTATTTTCTTTTTATATCCTTTAAATGGTGACGTTGAGGGTTAATAATACGAAATTTCACCAATACCTATTCATGCCGTGGGTGTCGTAAAGGTTAACTAAGGGAGCAATCTACACAGGAGAACAGCACTGCAAAGAGAAAGAAAACTTGATACAAACCCTACATCCACCCGTCCGGCCGACGTGGTACAGTAGGCCAAAACCTCCTTTCTAAGGCCTATTTGCGGCACTAGACTATTAAAGACTGTTGATGATGATAATGACCCTTAAAATGATAAATTATCAAACTTAAAAGTTCAAACTTGCTGTTTAAGTAAATACCGTCGGCGACAGCTTCGTGAATGCACTCTTATCGTGTGAATTATGCGCTATTGTTAGCTAACTGATTGAGAACAATGTAATCAGCGTTCTATATAAAATATGACCATTCTGTAATTAAGAAAAAAAATACCTTGAACTTTTATCAAAGACCTTTTAAATGTTTTATATAAAACTAGCTGCGGATCCTGCCTTGCTGTGCTATGGCACAATGTGGTTACAGAAATTACGAACACGACTAAAGCGAAATATACATAAAAACAAACTTTGTAGTGGGTTGTATATCGTGCCAAGGTTTGCGCTCAATCGGTGCAGAACTTTTTGAGTTTTTGAAGCGAACACAAACCAACGCAACCTTCATATTAATATATATATATATAGATCGAACCTTACATATTATAATAATTGACTTTTAAATAAAGTATCACCGTCTTTATTGCGTCAGTACCTAATTCACTTACTTATATACAATTCTTCATTCTTTAATTTTGAACCCTCAGGGGTGCTATTTGTTCCTCAAAATTTAAGAAGTATATCCTCCCAAATAAAAGAAGAATATTCCAAATCGGTTCATATATGACCTTCTGAGGTAACAAACATAATAATATAGAACCAATTTTAGAATTCCTTCCTTTACGATTAAAAAAAAATTGATTTAGCCTTCAAATATCCTCCATATTCCTTCTTTAATTTGTATTTCATATGTTTTCTTACGATAGTCTAAAGGCTAATAAACTTTCACAAACCTACGTTTTCAGTGAGAAGGAAAGAATATAATTATAATGCTACCTCACTCCCACGCGCTGGTAGCAGTGAAATCGAAAGCCTTATTTCCATGCTCACCAGGTAGAACGTTTTAATGGCATGCTTGTGCTTAATATAGGCAATTAACACAAGGAATTTGAGTTTTAAAGAAAAAAGTAGGTAATAAAACTATTACGAAAGTGATTATAAAAAAATGAATCAATTAAGAACACATATGTAGTATACTATAACCTACTTCTCACTTGGTCTTTTACTTTTAAAGAAAAGCGCGAACATACAAACATACACACACAACGAGAGAGAGAGAGGAGAGCCATGCTTCGTATATAGCTTGCAATAAAATAGAATAGCATTTTACTAAATATCAAAAAGTATTAAGTGACTTAACAAGGTATAACTGGCTGTGAGTTTGTTTCACCATGTTATTTGTTGCTAAAATAAATTAAAATTTAACAGCAAAAATAAATTATTCTATGTCACACATTTTTATAAAATAACAATTTTTGACTTTAAACATTGTACATAAAAAGTAACATAGTAAAATAGGCATCGTATCACTTTTATTTATAAATAATGCTAGTAACACGGTTCACAGGTGACTAGTATTCTTGTTAAAGTCTCCTAAGCTCCAGCTAAATACTTGATAAGAGTGGACTCTCGTCAGTACAGCACTGGAGCCCGATTGAAAAAGTAACTACTGATTCTCAAGTCCAACGCTTTAACCATCGCTCTACGCCACTTATTTTTCTTCTTACCTTTGGACAAAAACGACAAAAGAAATTAAATTCTACATTTTTTTCTAATAAACTACGTAACAAATCAAAATCTTGACAACTATCAATTTGCATTAAACATTCACACTCTTTTTCTTTCTTTCTAGGTCAAGCGAACCAAGCGGTAGAACTCAACGTGTCTGGTGGTGCCCTAGGTCTGAATAAGATGTCGAAGCGCGAGGAAGCACCTTACGCGGCCGATGATCCCCAAGTACGAGGACTCAACTTCCATCAGAGCAAAGAGGTGCTCATCGTGGAACATAGCGCTGGATCTAATGGCGATGTAAGTTATCAGTCATTTAAACCAAACAATTTTGGAATAGTCAGACTGACCTGTCTGACGTGAAGCTCTAAAAAAGGTGATCCTATGGACAAGGACAGGACCAGAATTGGTTGTTCTTATAGATCGTTCAACTCAGTTGTGCGCGCGGCCCTATGTGTGCGTGGGCTTGTACTCGTAAATATACAACTCATTCGTGTGGCAGTGACGCGGTGCTCGGACGACGACTGGGGCCGCGCGCACAACTGAGTTGAACTATCTATACCTGTCTTTTACACAGCATTATGGATCCCTAGGACATTATTCATAGGACACTCTTTTTCAACATGCTTTTTCCAAAATGGTTGATTACATTCTTATAAGTAAAAACCATATACAAACCCGATAAGGCCGCCTATTGTACCACAGATTTCTTTTGTTTGTCGTCTAGAAGTGAAAACTAGAATTGGCTTTCAGATGATTAATTGTGTCATTCTTACTGATATTTCTAGCTGTAAGTAAGAATTAAATAAATAAATAAATACATTGTATGTTTCTTAATCGTGGTGTGCAATAAAGAGTACCCATCTATCTATAATTAATGTATTTGTAAGGACAATCTAATGCATACAAAATAATGCCACATTTTGTCGTCCAAATTGACTATAAAAATACTGAATTTAGTATCGTTTCTACCAATAAGCGGTATGAGTCATCAGGAGTAAGATTTAGGTGTATAACGTAAAGTAAGCCATAATTTCCGATACGACATTCAAACCTGCAAGAATAGCGTACTCCGGCTAAGGCCGGCAACGCGTTTGTGACTCCTGAGTAGAGATGGGAATTATTGCTAATTTTAAATTATATCCATTTGATGAAATGATCTGTTTCAGTCATAGCGGTTTCACATGTGATTGTGATTTCATCATAGACAAAGATAAATGGCATTAAAGTCAATCAAAATTCTTTTATCAAAGATTACGACATAATTTTTTTAGATTTAGGCCTTTCGCGAGTCTTGCACTAGCTTAATAATAATAATTAAGTAGCAGTGGTTTTGTAAATCAGTCACAGGTGTGATGATATGATTTATTAGATGTGATTGTGATTTCATTCCATCCCTACTCCTGACTTGCAGATGGGCAGCAGCGGCGATAGTCACTTTCCCTGTCCCTGTATTATAAAAAAAAAAAACAAAATTTAGTATTGTAGTCATCATCAATCATCATCAACAGCCTTTAATAGTCCACTGCTGGACATAAGCCTCTCCTTAGGAAGGAGGTTTTGGCCTACTATACCACGCTGGCCAGACGGGTTCGTATAGGGTTTGTGTCAAGTTTTCCTTCTCTCTGCAGTGCTGTTGTTCGTAGTTTTTTCCCTTAGTCGGCTCTTACGACACCCACGGGATGAATAGGGGTGGTGACACTCTGTATTCTTAATCCGTCGCCACACGGACTTGTATTACGGACGGTATTGTAGTAGTATTGTAGTAAAATACATTACTTTTGGGTATCACAATAGTTGTATTTATAAAAGAATCAACTGTTACAAGAAACAGATCCTAACTAAAAACTTGGGCGCAGTTAAACTTTTATAAAAACAAACATACATTTTCTTGAAGTCGGTTAAAAATGAAAGATCACCAGTGAAGATTTCCTCCTTGTAATAAAATGGTTTTATATCTTTCTTTCAGATTCCTGGCAAAGTGACAGCTGTGACGCCTGACTGCGATGACTGTGGAAGCTGTTTCAATGTAAGTCGTTTTATTTATTGAATTTAGAAAGTACTTGTCGACGGTGATCTCAGTACAAAAAAGTTTGAAAGTACCAATAGATGATAGTCATCATAACGGGCCTGTTGGTATAGTAGTGACCCTGACTGCTAAGCTGGAGGGAGCCGATTCCCACCCAGGACAAATATTGTCTCATGAGCACGGTCATTCGTTCTGTGTCTGGGTGTAATTTATCTATAATAAGTATGTTTATCGGCAGTCTGGTTGCCATTGTACAGGCTCTGTCTAGTTTGGGATCAGACGGCCGTGTGTGTAATGTATGAGATATATTATTATTATTAATTATCGCGTCTTTTAAACTTTTGCGCTCTATCTATATATAAAAATATTAGGTTGGTTTGTGTACGTTTCAAAAACTCTAATAGTTCTGTACCGATTGAGCCAAAATTTTGACACGATATAAAACCTGCTTCAAAGATTTTTTTTAAGGGAAAACTTCGCGTTGGGCTTTTTTGAACAACAAACAAAATAATGTATTTGAATGTTTAACAAAAAAACTATTTTTTTGAGATGGAAAAAACCATTAAACTCTCGATACTGTTACCGTTACCGACACCTCTGTTGAATTGAAAACTTTTTTAGGCGCGTTGGGCATTTTTTGAGATGGAAATAACAATTGAACTCGCGACACTTACCGTAACCGACACCTCTGTATATAAATTTCCACTTCATTGATGCATTCCCGGAGTGCTACTGTTTTTTTTTCTACTTTTCGTGTTACTTCTGTTCCTCATTTCTTATCAAAGCAACCATAATGTGGCACAGCGAAGTATGCCAGGGTACAGCTAGTTAAACATAACAATAATAACCTCACACCCGGTCGCCTGATCCCAAACTAGTCAGAGCCGGTACTATGGTACCTAGACTGCCAATAAATATACTTAAATATTTGTCCAGGCTGGTAATCGAACCCAACGACCTCTGGCTTTAGTCGACGACGGTCACTAACCACTAAACGAAAAAACTAGTCAAAGTTTAAAAAAAAGCCAATTATACAGTAATTTATGTTGTGTTTTCCTTTCTGCGATTAACATAACCAGGCTATATGGTATCTAATAAGATTTTCCTTCAAAAATCTTCAGATAACGTCTCGTGGTAAGATCAAGGCATTAATCCAGAAGAACTTCCTGAGGATGTGGAGGAACATCGGCGTGATGCTCTTCATCTTTGTGCTCCCGGTTATGCAAGTCATTCTTTTCTGTCTGGCGATTGGACGGGATCCTAGTGGATTGAAGCTGGTAAGTCCATGATTCAAAGATGATTGTTGTTTGGAGACATTAGTAGTTGAATTTGTTCGGGTAGAAAATTATTCAATTTATCTGTGTTATAATTTGTCACGTCATTTAAATTATGTACTACAATAATATATATTTAATTGTTTTCAATTCAATATTTTTAGTTACTGTTAATAATAATTAGTGCAATTTTTTTCAAATTAATTTCATATGTGTTTAATTTTGTAACTTGAGGGTTCGAAGGATCGCAGTGCACATTTAACAAAATATTTGATTAATAAAATAAGGTTAGACCTGTAAACAATTAGTTATACTGTTTCTTCTTATCTACTGTCGAATTGTTCATCCAAGGGTTGCCCGTAAGAGATTGCTATTAGCAATAAGGTCGCCTATTGTACATATTCATCTGTAATATTTAACCAACTTACTGTAATTGGTGTACAATAAAGCATATTCTAAATTCTATATTGCTAAGTTGCATTAACATGAAATCTGTATATGCTTATCATATACGTTATGTATTTAAATTTTGTGATCGAACGGTTCGAAGGACCAAGATACATGTCTTAGAAGCAATACACATAATGTTCGATGGTCCTCAGGCGGTGGTGAACGACGACGTGCACATAGTGGACGGTCTGTGCCCGTACAACGCGTCGTGCTCGATGAGGAACCTGTCGTGCCGCTACCTGGCACACCTCAACAACCACACGCTCAAGGAGTACTACGCGACGCTGGACGGCGCGCTGCAGGCCGTGGCCGACGGCGACGCCTGGGGCGCGCTCTACTTCAACGAGAACTACACTGACTCGCTCGTGGCCCGCCTCGCGCTCGGTACCTTCACACGCTCTTACACACTCTTTCTCTACTTTAACCACTTTTATACATATTATAAAACAGCAGGAAAAAAGCTTTTTATAACCAAATGTCAGGTCTAGCCTTCATCGTGATAACGTTAGTTAGCTACAATCCAGGTTTTGGTTACCTACCTACCATTTCTATCTATTTCACCGATCTCGGTTTAGGGTGTTCAGTTAGTAGAAAGTTATATAGGTTTATTTAAAGTTATGTACATACTAATTCACGCATCTGAACACTCCAAGATTACAGACCCCATCTTTAATAAATAACAATCATTGTACTTACAGTTTTTTTTTCCAAAATTAAAGTTCTTCCTAAATGATGCAATGAACACTATAACTTTGAGTATAACTATACTTATATATAACTACAAATATTTATTATTATTTAATAAAAAAAAACGAGATCTATAAAATTTTGGACAAATCCCTTACAAATACGTCAGGACTTAGAAAACTGAGTGAATGCTACTTGTATTTAACATTTAAATTTGGGTTACAGCGGACACGGCCGACAACGACACGCTGGAATCGTCGGAAGTGCAAGTGTGGCTCGACATGTCCAACCAGCAGATAGGGCTCATGCTCAACAGGGACATACAGTTCTCCTACAGGGACTTCGCTAAGGTAACAGATACAAGATGCTCTTAGAACAATTCCAGCCCTGTACACTACTTTACCCCATCTATACGATGCTCTATCTGGTCTCTCTATTCTCTACACTAGAACCTATTTGTTAAATATATTTCTGACACAGATGTCCAAAATATACTGAAAAAAAAGGTTCTGTGATAGACTCGGAAAGGAGTGTGTGTCAGAACACACAACTCCATCTTGTTTAAAACTAAGCAGAACTTGTACTATAAAAGCTAGATTGACTGATAGAATACTTTTTTTTGTAAATATTATTCATAAAAAAAAACCCAAACGCCGAAACAATTATTTGCTGGTCATACAAACATTTGGACCGACCTGGGAATCGAACCCGAGACCCACACAGTAGTCGCTTACGCTGTCCCTTTTAACTATATTATCCGCCTTTTACCTTAGACTGGATAAAGGCGGACAAAATCGTTAATGTTTAGCTCACAGTTCTTTAGAGAAGTGTTTGTTTTTGTTCTTATTGCGGATAAACTTGGCAGAAATCGTAACCTAGATCTGGTTGAGTTAGTTTTAGCATAACTGTCTCGAGCGGAAGGGACTCCAACGGCAGCAACGCACTTGTGACTTTTGAGTTGCAGGTGTCCATGGGCGGCGGTAGTTGCTTACCATCAGGTGACCCGTCTGTTCGTTTACCCCCTTATACCATAACAAAAACAATGATCCTGAGAGATCTGGTCGTATAGTCCCCAAAATCTGACGAAAGAAATCATAATTCCCATTAAAACACATTTAACCCAAGATCCAGGATAGGCAGCATCTGCTCTCTTTCTATTACTTTGACGTTAATAACAAGATGATTTAGTGAATGACCTATTTTCTGTATTCCAGGACTTGCTGGAGACGTGTCACTACAACCCAAAGCTCGGCGACATCCCCATCGACTTCATGGACCCCATCTACGGCAACAAGAACCCATCGTTCACGGACTTCGTAGCGCCAGGAGTTATCTTGACGTAAATTAATTAATTAAAAACATAGACAAACATTAAATTAATTAGAACAGAAATTTACACTATAATGTCCTTTTTCAAAAAAACTAATTTTACGACTTTCCCTTCCAGTATCGTGTTCTTCTTAGCAGTGGCCCTAACATCATCAGCTCTGATCGTGGAACGTATGGAGGGTCTCCTGGACCGGTCGTGGGTGGCTGGAGTGTCTCCCGGCGAGATCCTGTTCTCCCACGTGGTGACGCAGTTCGTGGTGATGTGCGGACAGACGGCTCTGGTCCTCGTGTTCATGATCGCCGTGTTCCAAGTCAAGAATAATGGAAATATAATATTCGTTGTTATGCTTACTTTGCTGCAGGGTAAGTTAGACTTTTTAAAATACGTACTTGTAACACGTGTTGACTCTGAAGTGAAATCAAGTCATGTATATGTGCCTAACTTCACAGTGGACATATATTTCTTTAATAAAAATGTGTGATTTAATTTAAAAAATAATTACGTAACAATGAATAATTTACTAATGTGTTAATGCGAAAATTGTTTCAACTTTGAGTTGAAACTGCTGAACAGTTCAAAAGTGTTCTGAAGTTATTACTACACTATCTGATACAATAAACAGTAGAGTATCTTAAGTAATCGCTATGAACAGATTTTAAAATTTACAGACTTTCGAGAAAAAATAACCATGTAATTTAATTGTTTTTTTTTTCAATTTTCTTCCTCCTTCAATTTACAAGAATTTAAGGTCTGTTTGTTCATAATCGCAAATTTCTCATAGTTTACTCGGATATTTTTACTTTAAGTATACAATAAATCTAGGCTTTTTGTTTGTTCGTATTTTATGCGTTGAACTAACCACCCAGTCTTATCATGAAAGCATAAAGTTGACGTTGTATACAGCAAAAGACATAAGATTTCTTTCCCCCAAAAAAAGGAAGGTCGAAAGTGACCGAAAAAAATACATATTTTATAATAATAATAACCTCACACATCTCACACAGAGCCGTCTGGTCCCAAACTAGGCAGAGCCTGTACTATGGTAACCAGACTGCTGATAAACACACATTATTAGATAAATTACACCCAGACACGTGCTCATCACACAATTATTTGTTCTGGGTGGGGATCGAACCCTCGTCCTCTTGCTTAGCAGTCAGGGTCACTAACCACTAGCCCAACAGGCCATTCAGTCATATTAACCGACTTTAAACGCGGTTAAAATCTAGTTATCAACAAAAAGTGACCATAACAAAGAATTGTCTTTGAAGCTCTTTTTGTGAACATTAAACTCCAGTCACGCTTGTCATATAATGATACAATATTTAAAAGAATATCTTCAAACTTTTTTGTAGTAGGTAATTAAGAAAATATTAGACAATTATTATGGGAAAAAAACATTTTGATGTTCAAAAATGATGGTGATTACGTAAATTATACTGTCCGGTCATTATAACGAGGAAGCGAATGAAGACAGCGGTTATTACATATGGTTTAACGGCATACGACCCTGTGTTGCCATTTTGTTTTTTTTATTCAATGATTTTTGACAAAATGAGATATAAAAATATATAATTATCGTGTACATATACCTAAGATGTCTACGAGTATAAAGCAGAAAACATTATAAACCATTTTTTATAATACTTTTATGAATAAAAGTCGCTTAGAAACAAGCTAGTATGACCATAGAGCTTAATATATCATAGTTTACATTTTTATTATGTATTACATAAAATATAATGCAAATACATATATTTTTATGGTATAAGGGATGAACGAGCAGATAAGTTACCTCATGGTAAGTGAGTACCGTTGCCCATGGACAACTGAAGGGACACAAGGGTGTTGCAGCCATTTGAGGCCCCCCTCTAGAGTTACAGGGTTGGGCTTTTAGTGTGCAAATTAAAAAAACTATGTTTTAAAATATGGCTCTTCCAAGTACCTAATACACATATTATTTCATACAACAATTAATGGCAGGGAAGTCACGAAATCCGCGACCACTGGCGTTACAGTGGTATGCTCCAAGATGACCACATAATTATGTCATCAATATAAATATTTTTATATAATTATATCCTTTATTGTCCAGGACTCTGCGGCATGTGCTTCGGCTTCGTCATATCTGCAGCTTGCGAACTTGAACGAAACGCGATCCAGCTGGCCCTCGGCTCCTTCTACCCGACCCTCCTGCTCAGCGGGGTCATCTGGCCCATCGAGGGCATGCCCTGGATACTTCGATATGTGTCTCTCTGTCTACCGCTCACGTTAGCGACCAACTCGCTCAGATCCATCCTGACACGAGGCTGGCCTATCACAGACTCCGACGTGTACATGGGCTTCGTCTCCACCCTCGCATGGATAGCACTCTTCTTAGTTGTTACTATTACTATATTGAAGTTCAAAAGAAATTAAGCCATCAGATTGCTCAAGCAAGTTCTGGTCTATGGTCAGAGGCACCGCCTCCTTTGTCTGTCTTCGTTTTTTTTTTAAAGAATGGCAATTAAAAATATATGTCGTCTATAAAATAAATATTTTGTACTCGAAATGTATGTAAATTTTTTTCGCTTCGCTATAGTTATGTGGCAGCCATTTTGTCATATATACGACAGTCACATTTTTTTTATTTACACTGATGGCTTACGATAGCAATTGTATGGACCACGTCTGTATTTTAGTCAGCATCGAGTTATCTTCAAGGTGAAGGGAGACACCGAAGGCTGTATACTAACGAATAAATAGTTATACGCTAAATGACGTAATTGCTATACAAATAAAATTATATATTTCCATTTCTTATTTTCAAAAATGTATATAAATTACAAGTATACAGCCAGAACTATGAATATTTAAGAAAAAATAACCTATGTTATTACTAAATGAAAATAAAATGTAGATTACTTTGCCTCTTTTATATTGTCTTTGGTATTCACGAAGACCCGCCAAAACGTTATCTGTGCTCGAAATGTAAAGCGTGTTCGAAATTTAAATATATCCTAACTCAGCACGTGTAGACACATCCACATACATATGTACACAATATGGCGAGACAAAAAGCGCGCGTATTCATGAATGCCAAATACTATCAATTGCTCAAACATACGAACAAACTGATTTTGACTTAGTACTTATAACTAATTGACTGTTAGTCGGATTGTAAATAGTAGCCTATATTTATGTTAGTGTCGAGTATGTATGTAGGGTTAACGGGAATGTTAGCAATAATGATTGGTCCAACGCTTTTTAGGGTTAAAACGTGTTTCTTGTGTTTATAACAGGAAAACATAGATTTAGGTATTTAACGCGTTTCCTTTTAATTTTGCTTGTTCAATGACAGCTTAATTAATTTTAAATGTCAATGTGACATTGTCTATTTTTGCTTGTCAATGTGACAGCTTAATATGCATGTCAATAGCGCAGCTTTATTGTATTTGTCAGTTTGAGAGTTTTAAAGATTTGTCTCAATCAGCTGATAGCTTATAGAGACGCCTACATATCATTAAAGGCATATTTGTTTTGTTCCTGAAATAAACACAGTATACACTTAGCTATCTTTGGTAAAGGACATTATATTATTATGTAAGATTTTGACATTCAATGTTGAATATACCTGATAAATGAGTTACCATAGAATAAGATGGTGCCATAAACAATAATGGTGCATAAGGAACTTTTTAAATAAAACGTCATTGGTTTAAAAATACAGGTTTGAAACTCAAAAACTTCATGATTATTATTTTAAACTGGTGTATTATAAAAATAAAAATTATGAAGTTTAGCAGCTGCGCCATCTTGTTAATGAAAGGCATCTCAAACTTTATGGTATTCAAAATCTTTATACAACGGTCACATATTTTTAACGTAGTGATGTACAGTAAGTTAGGTTGTTATGGATAGACTCGGTAGGTAGACACATAGATTATAAGTATACGGCGTTTGTATAAAAGCTTTTTCTGAGTCCAGTCGGAAGATGTCGCTTGAGCAATAACACGGGACTGTTCGGGGCGACGCCACGTGTCGCTGGCGGCGAGTGACGTGTGTAGAATTATTTTGTAACTTGGAAGTGTCAGACTGTGATTATTTTTGCTAACATTGACATTTTTGTAATGACAACTATATAATAAATACTGTACCAAATATATTTGTGTTTCTCTCTCTCTTTGAATGTATTCCCTCGTTTCTCAATGCTGGTAGTGGAAGTTTGGTATGAAATAAATTGGATGGTTGTAGTCGTCTATGCTTACCCTAAAAGTATCTAGGTGTGGTCACATAGTTATTCATGATTATGACTGTGGCGTCTTGTAAATTTCACTCCCGCGATTAAAGTGACACCTAGTAAACAATTTTTTTTTTAAGACAACTCCCGCATTATGAATATATCCTATGTCGCGAGGGACTTTACAAACCCACATGAAACGGACACAAAGAACACCCAGACTCAGAACAACAATTTATGGATCACACAGAGTCGTCCCATGTGGGGATCGAACCCACAACACTCAGCGTAGTAGTAATCGGCGTGGCGACCGCTTAAACCATTACGCCATCCGTGTCGACATGAAATTATTCATTCCACCCATGTTAGTTAGATGACATTAGGGGTATCTTTATTTTATATCTTGTGAATAATGTATTCGTTTCTCTAATAATATATAACACCTATAGCCACACATGAAAGACTATTTTAAAAGGATACCTCAAGCCTCGAATAGGAAGCCAAACTGCGAATGAAGTGTCTCAGTCGCGTATCCCTACAATTCAAGGATCCAAATCTATATAAACTCGGAGTTCAAGTATTATTTATTTATTTATACATCATGCACTTTTGGTGCATTGGCGGACTAAATGCCTAAGGCATTCTCTACCAGTCAACCTTTGAGTGATGCAGAGAGAACAGGAACTAGATGTATTTTGGTTAGTTTGTTTTGTAGTTATAATATCAAATACGCGTACATAAACCTATCATACATTAAAACCCATACACATTATACATACGTACATACATATACTTAAATATTATGTCGGCGTCATGGTCCAGACTACCAGCCAACCTTCGGGTAGTGTGGAAATCTTGTAAGGTGGAATAGTATAAACAAATACATCATTACTTTAAAACAGCATTTAATGACATAATATAACTTAAATAGGTTACAAATGGAAGCATCATCACCATTGTTTTCACAACTCATATCTCATTAAATTACTTTCTTACTTTGTTAAAATCTCACTCAGAGCCTTCTTTTTCTTCTGTCCTTTATCAAATTTGCGTTTCTGTAAAAAGAAATAAACAAGTATTATTTTATTTCAGTGTTTAATAGATTACTGGACTAAGCTGAACTGGAAATTACTCTGAAAAGCTTGTATTTGTGTCCAGGGCTACTATTCTAACGGGAGAAATGAGGAGATCATGAACGCCTCTGGGTCAGCAAAAATATAGTCAGGTCATGGCAGTCTGTGAAGGGATCTAAAGAGACTTAATAATGGATGATTTTAAACGCCCCAATGATTGTAAAGATAGCAAGCATTATAAGTAAAAGTTCAATTGTTCATAAACCAAAAAAAAATGTTATGTACAGAAGGACCAATTACTGAAGAGATTCAAATCAATAACGATTCTAGTTCCATTCAATAAAGTGTAATATAGCTTGCATGGCAATCCACATGTACTACTAGTTTTTGACACATGTCAAAACAATGATCCTTGAACTGTGGGTTTAATTAATTACCTTTTTCTTTTCAGCAGTCATGCCAACAAACTCCTTCCTTGTCTTCTTCTCTTTGTTGGGCTGGTTTATGTCCTTCTGTCTCTTATTTGGAGGTCCATCGCCACCGTTAGCATCCTAGAACACACAAATATTTTTAGACTAAATGTCTGGACACTGACCCTGACTTATTTGCCTATAGGCACAACAGGGGCCCTTTTTCAGAGAGTGAAGCATCCTACCCTGAATCATGCCACAGATAAATATAATAATGAATAATATATCGGACATCAAACTAAGCAGAGCTTGTACTATGAAAGCTTGATTGACTGATATAATACTTATATACTTTTTTTATGTAAATATGTACATATTATACATAGAAAACACCCAAACTCCGAAACAAATATTTGCAGATCTTACAAACATTTGGTCCGACCCGGGAATGGAATCCGAGACCACCGAGGCAGTTAAGTTAGCATATTTACCTGACTCTTTCTTTTGTGAAGAATCCTCCTATGTGCTCCATCTTGTCCTGCCTCGTCCATATTCCCGTATCTCTGGCCACCTTGGTTACCTCTTTGAAAGCCACTTTGATTCCATCTCTGATTGCCTTGATTCTGGCTCTGACCTGGATGAACTCTCTGATTACCTTGATTGTGTCTCTGACCAGTTTGAACTCTCTGATTACCTTGATTCTGTCTCTGACCAGATTGACCTCTCTGATTACCTTGATTCTGTCTCTGACCATTTTGAACTCTCTGATTACCTTGATGCTGTCTTTGACCACTTTGTGGTCTCTGCTTCCCTTGATAATGTCTTTGACCACTTTGTTGTCTCTGATTGTCTTGCTTTGGTTTCTGCTTTTGCTTGTTTGTGAGTTGTGTACATCTCTTTACGCGAATTATTCTGTTCTTTATTGTCAAATCCTCTTCTGTTAATGCTAGAGCAAGTTCAACGGCGTCTTTTGATGCGAAGTTGACGTAACCAAAGCCTGGTGAAAAATGTATATATTAAATTGCGTAGTAGTCAAGTCAGGTCAGTCTGTGGATGGGTGACCATTATTAACCCATTGATACCCCTTTGTGCCTCGGAGACCACATTAAGCCGTGGTTCCTGGTGGCCATACACACATCTGTGACAAAAGCCTTAAAAAGCCCGTCAACAGTCTGTTTATGGAACTTCGATATCGCCTAGAAGTTTAACCGTGTCAGAGTAGGCTGAAAGCCGACCTCGACCTAACTTGGGAGAAGGCTGAGGATTAAATTACGTAGACTAAATGAGTGTGCAATAAATAATTAAACTTGTTCATATGTAGTACTGTACAGTAGTACCTACTTAACGTACTTGCCAGGGTAGGTACGTGGACATTATTCTTTCTTCTTCAGGTTCTCAAAGCCAATATTTTATCAACATCAACAGCCTATACTAGTCCACTGCTGGACATAGGCCTCTCCTTAGAAAGGAGGTTTTGGCCTACTATACCACGCTGGCCAGACGGGTTGGTATAGGGTTTGTTTCAAGTTTTCCTTCTCTTTGCAGTGCTGTTGTCCTGCTTAGTTTGCTCCCTTAGTCGGCTCTTACGACACCCACGGGATGATGAATATTTAGTTAAATCTATTGTGTACTATTTCTGTTCATGATTCAATATTGAAATGGTCACTTTCAATCACAGAATTTACAAGCACTAATCTCTTATTGTTACTACACTTAGTCCTTAATATCTTACTAATCAACTTAAATAATATTTAATACTTTATATGTTTTATAAATTATGACTATGTTGATCCATCATAGCCATTTTTTTGTTTTGTTTGAAAGTTATTGTAAGTATTCAAAATACAAAGAATAAATATCCTTTGCTGTATCAGTTCAAAGGACTGGCCGGGATGCTGCTACATCTTTCAATGTCCATCAATTTATCGCTGAGCAGACATTCTCTAAGTTTTTGGGTTATTCGATGTTGATTTCAACACGCATTCCTGAGTAGTGCCAAAGTAATTCTATATCCTTTTGGTATATGAAAGTCTAGAATTAAATGCTAAACATTTTATTGATGATATTTAAAGCTTTTTATTCCCATACCTTTTCCTGCATTAGTTTTCTTATCTCTAATAATCCTGACAGACTCAATTTCTCCGCACTTTTCAAACTTTTCCCTCAAAGTTTCGTCCTCAATAGCGAACGGTAAATTGCCCAAGAAGATAGAACATTTTGGATCATGTTCCGCCCCCGTGGAGGAACTTCGGCACACGCGCAAATGGTGGTCGTTGAGGACTGTATTGTTTTCTACTAGGGCCTGTAGAAAAAAGAACGAAAAAATTCTTATTAAGCTGAGCCTGGATGCAAATGGCTATTACGGACCTCCTTTAGACACAGACAAATTCTAGTTTAAAGGTTACGGTCTTGACAACTTCACAGTAATATAAAATAATTCAACTTAACAGTAATAATACCTTCTCGGCAGACTCTTCATCAGCATATTTGATATATACGTTTACAGTCGTACGCTCAGGATGCAGCTCATTCTTAATAACTGCCAGCTTTGGAGTGTATCTTCCATCTTTTATCGGAACTGTGCGAATCCTGTAAAAGAACAATTTATATGTAATTCAGTTCTGGAACTAGATATTGAAAAAAAATATCAACACTAGTTCTTTAAGTGGAAGTCCAAATGACTTTTTCCCCCCTCTCTACCTACCTACCTATTTATTTATTTATTTAAAACTTTATGCACAAATGTGGCAAAGGCGGACTTAATGCCGTAGGCATTTTCTACCAGTCGACCTTAGGGCGATGCAGAGCCAAACGTGGTAGATGCACAGAAATTAAAAATGTGATTTATTAAAACTATAGCATATATAGAATATCATATAACCAGAGTACTTATATAAATAACATTGGAATAATTTTAAAGATAAATACAATAAGTAATACACATATAATACTAATACACATAATACATAAATATAGATACATATGCATTTATATACTTAAATACACATAATATAAATTCTAAATGGAGAGGGTATAAAATTAAGATGGATTTGACAGTGTGTTTAAAAAATGTTGCCGCGACAGGTATTTAAATGTTTGCCGAGTTTTTGCCATCCTGATCCCGAACCGAACGGGCCCGCAGCGAACCTGTCACTTTCTGGCACACAGATGCAACTTGTTGTCGCCAGCTCAGAGTTGTGTCAATATACACTCCGAGGTCTTTCACACTCTCACAGTATGGAATAACCATGCCATCGTAGGTAAGTGGTGGAAGTGAGGCAAGGTCGAGCTGGCTCATAGCTCGGTTACTCCCGATGACAATAGCCTGACATTTATTTGGATTGACCGATACGCCAAACATATCAGACCAGTGTTTAATGGCTGTCAGGTCACTATTTATAGCCGAAATAGCGGACGATACATTGCACAACTCTGTCTGGTAGTATAGCTGCAAGTCATCAGCGTAGAGATGAAAGGAACACTGAAGTCTTGGGATGATAAGATTAATGAAGATAGAAAACAGAAGAGGTGAAAGAATACCGCCTTGAGGGACGCCAGCAGTAAGATCACACCAGCTAGAGGAAGAATCTTCGACACTGACTGACTGCTGACGATCCCGAAGGTAAGAGGAAAACCAGCCCAGTGCATCTTGAGAGACCGAGAAATGGGATAGGACAGCAAGGAGAAGTTCATGACTGACGGTATTGAAGGCATTCGAAAAATCAACCAGTACTAAGGTAGTAACCTTAGTATTCTCCATCCCCACCTTAATATCGCCAGTCACTTTAAGAAGAGCAGATGCCGTGCTATGGCCTGGTCGAAACCCTGACTGAAAGGGACTGAGTAAGTTGTTACTGTAAATGAAGTGGGAGAACTGTTTGTGGACGCAGGCCTCTAGCACCTTGGAGAGGAAGGGAAGGATAGAAATTGGACGAAAGTGTGTGGGAAGAGACGGATTGGGAGTTTTAGGTAACGGGCGCACATACGCTCTCCGCCACAGAGAAGGAAATGTGCCAGACATGAGAGAAAAGTTAACAATATGGGAGATAGCGGGAAGGAGGTGGACCAGCAATGTGGTGATCATTTTCCGACTAATGCCATCACAACCAACTGCTTGGGATCTGATAGATTGAATAATCTTCTTAATCTCTCCTTCTGCAACCGGACTGAAGTGAAAAGGGTTTAAGTTAGGGCGCGGTAGACTATTTATGTAAGTACGGGTGTTATGTTCAGATACAATGTCCAACGTGAGAGAGGTGGTAAAATGTTGGTTTAGGGAATCGAGATTTATGGATTGTGGAAAGTCCACATGTCGCGATCTGCCGATACCAAGAGTCCCAAGGAACTTCCAGATGTCGGCAGGAGATGAAGAGGAAATATTATCTAGAATGTGGCGGCGTTTAGCGTTCCGTATCACTTGGGTACACCGATTCCTTGCAGACTTGTACAATTGCCAGTTGACTTCGATACGGTCCCTCTTATAAGTCCTAAATGCCCGATCTCGACGTCTCATGGCCATCTGTATACCCCTGGTCATCCAAGGTGCTGGCAATCGTTTAAGCCTAACCTTTTTAACCGGTGCATGAATTTCGTACAGTTTAGTCACTATTTCGTTAAATACGTGCACCTTGTCATCGATAGAAGTAGAATCGATCAGGGATGTCCAGTCAATATGTGACGCATCGTCATTCAATTTGTCAATATCCATTCGTCCAAAGCAACGCCTGTAAAGAATCCTAGGTTTGGGTTTAGGAGGTTTGAGAACGTAGGAGAGGAAAATCAGGTCATGATGTGAAAATCCGAAAGCGTCAAGCTGACCATGAGAGGAAACAAGGGATGGATTAGAGGTAATAATTAAGTCGAGCCAAGTGTCCTCGCTGACATTATTGTGGTGAGTGGCCTGTAATGGCAGAACAAGAAAGCTGACCGACTCAAGAAGGAGTTGGAGTTTACAGGAACGAGTGGAGTTTCGGGCTAGGAGATTGGTATTAAAATCACCCATGATGACATGATGAGCGTACTCTGCACCCAGAGATTCAAGAACTGTTTCGAAATCAGTGAAATAGTCAATTGAAGGGGGACAATAGACAACACCGAGTACAACCTTAGCGCCTTTGACACAAACCTCTAAGAATAGGAATTCAGCAGAAGCATTATAATGAGAAGAGGAAGCTGATATAATTCTATAGGAAAAGTCACTCCGTAGGTAAATAGCCACGCCACCTCCCCCCTTTCCGATCCGATCGTTCCGGATAAGAATAAAGCCGGGCAGGGAGTTCTGTAAAATCGGTCAAGCCATTTTCAAGATATCCTAGGACAAACAGACAGAACTATACAGTGTGATGGGGTCTGATGTGTGTATTTCAGGGATGCATGGCTAGAATCTGACCCATTCCATTATAAACAGCTGGTACTATATTTTTATTTATATAAACATGTTTTTATTTACACATACTCAGGTGATAAGCTGTCATCTTTAAAGTAATATTTTGCTCTTGCGGGTCAGATACAAATAAATGTTCTTAAATTTATATTTTGTGGCATAGGAGATAAGGACTAGTTTTACTTGGTTATCTCCTACATGTTAAGTAATCTGTTTGGCCATGATTTTATATGTGACTAACTATGATGAAGACTGAACTTACCGAATAGTTTCAATCTGTCCGTGTTTATTAAAAATCTTTTTGATTTCTTTCTTACATTTAGCACTGAAAGGAACATTTCCTACAAACAATGTTCTCTTAACCTCATCTTCTGTGTTTACTTCTCCCTTATTTTTAATTTCCTTTTTCTCTGCTTTTTGTTCAACTTCCTTTGTTTTAACTTCATCTTCGTCACTACTTGCCTCATCTTCAGGCTCTGCGGCGAAAACTTTTTTATTTATTTCCTCATTTTCTGATTCTATTTCATCATCTGACTCATGTTCTGAGTCCGATTCTTTATCAGTAATTGCATTAGGGTTTACAATTGTTTTTGATTTTTTCATCGGTGCAGTTAACTCGTCGCCATCATCTTCGTTATCTATCTTATTTTTTTCTAATGTTGATTGGTCGACGTCCATGACTTCTGCTTTATTTTGTTGAGATTTTGATTTCTTACGTTTCCTATTCTTCTTTTTAGAATTACCTTGATTGTTTTCATCATTTTTAACATCTGTTTTTACTGTAATATCTTCTGTAGATTCTGTTTTTTCAACTGTAGTCTGTTTTGTCTTCTTTTTGCGTTTCTTATTTTTCTTTTTTTTGGAATTTACATTAGCTACCAGAGAAACTTCAACATTATTGCTTTCGTCAATACTGTTTGGATTCTTTGAATTATTTTTCTGTTTAGTAGGACTTGTGTTATCTATAGCCATTTTAGATTCTGTTTCTAATTCATTAATAGCATTTTCTTTATTGCTATCATCATTAAACACTGATTGACGTCTTTGTTTCATCTTCTTAGGGCTTTTGGCCACATTTGCACTCACTTCTGTTACTGTACTTTCTGATACTTCTGATGCTGGTATTTCAGAATTTTCAGAAGCCGTCTTGTTTTTCTTTTTCTTTTTTTTCGGAGTGTTTTCATTGGAACTTTGTACTTTTACACTGTTAGTACTTTCCTCTGTACCTGGTACAGACTCTTTTTTATTTTTCTCCTTTTGCTTGAGTAGTTTAGTATCAGCTGCATTTTTATTAGAGCCTATGTCACTGTCAAGTTCGTCTTTTAAATGTTTTTTAACTTTATCAGCCTTAGGACTTGTTAAACTTAAACTTTCTTCACCGGTAACCGTAGTCTCAAGATCTGGGTTCTGAAATATCCTTTTCGGAGATTTTTTGACCATAGCTTTCTTCTTCTGCACGCTTGGTGAGAGAAATATAGATCTATCATCGACAAACTCACTTTTAGGAGTTACATTTGGCGAAGGTTGATGTTTTGTCGGTGTTAGAGCTCTTTTCAGAATCCTTGGACGGCTGGGCGTCACATTGCCAGACACTAAGGCCGCCACACTACCCACCACGTAATCCATACTACTTTAAATAAATAACTTGGTTTTGGACTATGGAGACGATAAACGTGAGGCCAAAGCACATGGTTTAAAATATTTGACTTTGACAGTATTTTTGACAGCTTGGAAAGATAAACCTTATTAATTTAAATTACCCGCACAATCTCATCAGCAGTGGTAGAATATAATTCTTCTCTAGATACTTTGTTTTAACTGCCTATAATTATAGTATTATACCAAAACTTTATAGTGTTTTTCATGTCATGTTTCCAATTTATTTTATGGTTTTCTTGAATATTTTGTAGACTAAGTCTATTTTGTCATGGAATAGGAACAAAACTACCAATTATATTAGTTAGAAGATGCTGTTGGTGATTATTCTCCTGGATTAGATAAGTTTATACTGATATTTTTTAGGATTTCTAACCATAATTCTTATGCTCATGCAGTTTTGTATACATAGACATAGTAGATTTTATTAGTATCGTCTTACTTTACCCGTATTGGTTGGTAAGTTTAAGAAATTTGCAACTCTTTCTTGAAAGTCCAGTTAGGGAACAGAAATAAATGATGTCTTTTATCACAGTGTAGTAATATACAAATTACTTAGTTCTTATGAACATGTACAAACTTATATTAATAAGTAATATTTCTAAAATTCCTGTGTTCTGATTAAGTATGTTCTTTCGATTTCTGCCGGAGGTCTCATTAAATAAAATAACACTGAAAAAGACTGATAAGATTAAACATATCTTATGTTTACGATTTGCTTAAAGAAAAAGAATGCATGACAATTTACATATTTTTTTGTATTACAAGAATTTCAAAAATTTGTTTCACTTTAATTTTAATCAAAAAATTATTAAGAAAACAAACTTGACAAGTTTTTAAAACATTAAAATAACAACAAAAATATGGTAACATTGAAAACGAGTTTTTATGTATCCCGTGTAGATGGCTCTTTATCAAAATAAAAATTTGTTTCAAAGTTGCTAGGGCCACTGTTACGGGAAAACTATGTATGTGTTCTAACGACGCTTTCACGACGATTTTCAGTTTTGTTTGATCGTTATACTTAAGTGGAGTGATTTTCAAGTTTAGTGTTACTTAAAAGTGTGTGTGGATTAATTGCCTGAAGAGCTGTAAGTTTCTGATTTGTTTTTTATGTAGTTTAGTGGAAAATTCTAAACGCGCCATTGTACCGCCCGCCATCGTTTTAACTACCTATGTTTTTTTGCCATTACTTTTGTTCTAAACATTTTAAAAATTATACCGGAAAGTGCATAAAAATTGTGTATATGCCTCTATCGATTTCCGTTGTTTTGAAGTATTTTTTGTTGAGGTTATGCGCACATTCCTAGCGTCGGCGTCTATAAGTTAATTGCAATTGTAGGAATTGCGCTGTGGTTTAACTCTTCTCGTATTACGACGGGTATCCGAGACATTCCTCGAAAACTTGATCCGATTTGAATGAAACATGAGATTGCCGGTTGCACCTCCGTAACTTTAAATGGTATTTTAGAACTCTGACATACTACTACTAGGAAAACTAGTTTTAGTGGCCTTTTGGCGCGCTTCGTGTTAGGTACAATTAAAAAAACATTTTTTTTACAGAACTAACCATTTCCGACTAGTTTTATTTATTGTGAATGCTAATCTAGACAGGTTTGCATATAATCTTGAATTTAGCGTAAAACCTAAACTTTTTGTTTATTACTTCGAAAAATATATTTAGGCTTTACCTAAGATCCCAATGTTACACTTATTAAATCCTATATGCACGCTAAGAGCAAAGACCACAGCTAACAGTGAAGTTTCCATCATAAGCAGATTAATTTATACATTACAATAAAAACGTGAATAAGTACATACCTAGTGACTCCTAAATTGCAGGCGTTCATGGGCGGCTGTAGCCACTTTCAATTAGGTGTGCTTGTTTGCCTCTTCCATAAAAAAAGACACCTTTTATTTCTGTGATATATTTATTTTATAGTATCTTTCTACTTTGTAAATAAGACTACTTAATTCTAATAAGATATTTCTTATCAAGTCTTTTTCAACTTGGTAATGGTGATAAATACTGTTGTCTATGAATGTTCATCTTTTAAATATTTAATGTTTATTAAAATAACAATTTTTCAAAAGTTTACATTTCAAATGTTCATATTTACTTTTTGACCACACCTGCTTATAACCTTTTTAATAAGTAGTTGTACACATACATTCCTGCTTGTTAATTCCTACAAAATTAAAACTTAAATGTCTTGTTTATGTTTAGTATTTGTGGGTTAATCAACTCTATTATCTACACGTGAACATTAGTTACGGTAATGTTTATTTATTTTTCTGTAAAACTAGACAAACAGTTCATACATGTGTTTTAATTCATAATATGTTGTATGAATTAAGCAAATATTTCATAAAACAAACGAATTTTATATATAATTCAAAATACCTATATTTAACGTAGTTAAAGACAAAAGTTAATATACTTTTTTACTTCGTTATTACAACATTTAACAATTAACTTCTAAAATTATTCAAAATAAGTGTTAGATCATATTCAAGTTACAGCTCAGACTACTTGGAAATAGCTATAGTCTATTAACGTTATGAAAATAGTAATACATTGACCAAGGCCTGTCCCTGACCAATCAGGTTCCAAGAAATTAACATTTCGTACAAAAGCTTGGAACCTGATTGGTTTGGGGCTTGAATGACATGTTACTATTTTCTTAATGTGAATAGACTATAGTTCAAGTTTCAGTTAAGCCGGCCAGCAACGCATTTGTGACTCCTGAATTGCAAGCGTTCATGGGTGTCGGTAGTCACTTTCCATCAGTTGACCTGTCTGCTTATCTGCCCCCTCTTACATAAAAAAAAGAGTATACAACTGCCCTACACCAGCTATGGCTTACGTATGACCCTTTCCATCTATACAAACATTATAACCCTTTTCTCTCTACTAAGTTCCATAGATAAAATATGACAGAAGTAATAAGTGAGTGAAAATTAAATTTTAGCTGGTTAAATGTGTCATTATGTCTGCAGGCCAAAATTTATGCATGCTTGTTCATCTATCACCTACTTACCCAATTAAATTGTATGTTAATTTAAAATTAATTTTGTATTTATGACTAACAAAATATTCTTGAAAGCTACTCACCATTTCTTATACTAATTACATAAGATATTAAATAATTTATTTACAAAATTCATGAATGAAGTTTCAAGAAATGTTTTTTTTTTAAGTAGTTACAAAGCATCATGCAATTATCTGGTTAGTTGTGTGTAAATTACAATACATAAATTGTATGCTTGTATATGTTTATTCACTTTTTTCCTGTAATAGGAACTAGTACCAACGGAACCTGTTCTTTGTCACAATTATCTCTTTGTCCACTGTTTTTTGTTTGGTTGTAAATTTCCGTGGGTCGTCAGCAGGCTCGAGTACACGATGCGGCGTTGCACCGGCGTGTCGCCTGAGTGGTGTCGCTGCGGCGTATTACATAGAAATGTTCATGGCATACCACACGGTACCGTGTGCTGCCGCACCAAACCACCATTGCACACCGGTCCAAGACGAGGTTGGAGGCAGCGGTGCCGACGTCGCAGACCGCAGATGTGTTGAGGAATTTGTGAAATGTAGATGCTTGCTGCCATCGTCAATTTTTGCCCGTATTTCTTAATTAGAGATATGGACGATCACAAATCCTTAGTTCAAGATGCGGTGGTGCACCGCACTTTGAACCTGTCGGATTTAGTTTTATTTTAAAACAAAGTTGCCTACAAATGGATATTTTACACAATAATATATTAATACAAACAATCGGAAAAATCTCGAAACTGGGCTTCCTAAATTGCACATCACCAGACAGACATTGACAACTTCAAGTATGCCCCATGCATGTCTGGATGTCTTTCAAGTACTGCTCTACTTCAATCACTTATCAGTCCTTATCTGTTGTTTAGTTAACAAGATTGAAATCGGCCAGTAAAGCCATGTGCTCCATAAAAATATGTTAAAAAATATTAGTAAGGTTGACTGAAAGAAGTTATTATTTATGGATGTGACGTTTACGGGTTCAGGGCCAGGCAGCTTTGTCCTGACTTTTTATATAGATAAGCCAAGCGAAATGCTGGGTACTAGGTTCAACCTAATACTGCAACTGTAAATCTGATGCTTATTTGTGACTGTCTTACCAATAGACAAATATGAAATCATTATTGTAAAGAACAACTAAAAATTCGAATAGTTACATTGACACTGTTGTTGTGCGATATTTAATTTATGTCTATACATCTTCTATACAAATAAATAAAATTGGAGTGTCTGTTTGTAATATTAAAATAACCGCTTTTTACTAAATGCATATGTATGTTTACACGGTACATGTGCCAAAATAACATTTTTTACAATTTTTGTCTGTCTGTCTGTCTGTTCTGGGTAATCTCTGGAACGGCTGGACCGATTTCGACGGGACTTTCACTGGCAGATAGCTGATGACATAAGGAGTAACTTAGGCTACTTTTTTTAGACTAGCTTCGCCCCGCGGCGTTGCCCGCGGTTATAACAACAAACGCGGGTAACACCGCGGGTCTCAGCTAGTAGTATATAAGAAGAAACTAAAAGACTGATTCACTGACTGATCAATCATTGCACTTCTGCAACCGCTGGGTCTAGAATCATAAAATTTTGCCCAAATGTTCCTTAGGTTACGCAGGCGTGCAATAAGAATCGATTTTTTAACAATTCCACCCCTAATGGTGCAAAATGGGGTTCGAAATTTATATAAAACTTCGTTATTTTTGATAATATCCTCTACGATGTCTAATGTCGACCACCACGCGTACGAAGGCGCTAGCAAAAGCTAGTCTATATAAGCTGAAGACAACCTCTTCAGCTTTATATCTTGTTTGTTTGTTTAATTGGTGGCAATCGAAATCTCAAAAACTAGGTCAAAAATTATGTTGGATAGGCCATATATTGAGGAATGCTATGGGTTATATAACATCACCCTACGACCAACATAATTTGAGCGTCTCATAAAAAAAAAGTAAAAAAACGAGAATTTTTATTCCTTTTAAGAGACGCACACGGAGTTGTGTGGGTCATTTAGTTTGATTATAACACTGAAAAGTGGAGTGTTCTGATTAATCGTTATGTTACAAATTAAACAAAAAAAACTTTATTGAGATAGATAGTTTCAAAAGGTGTATACTAAGACTGATCTAGTCTAATTATTGAACGTAAAATATTAATAAGAAGCTGTTTGGCCTTAATGAATGGAACCATTATTCGTAAATACCAATACAGAAATGTTGTCGAGAAATAGACTTACATAGCTATAAATAGAATCTAGATCCTTGAACTTCTAAGTACCTCACTCTTTCCTAATCTTGACATTGTAAATCTTCATCATCATCATCCTTTACTAGTCCACTGCTAGACCTCTCCGTAGAAAGGAAGTTTTGGTAATTCTTATTTATCTACGAGTATAACTAAAGTTACAATAATAAATATGTCTGTGGGAAAACAAAACTTGACATCTCATCACATCACAAGTGCGGTGCTGTTCGATTCCACCCCCCCAGAATCAAGGAAAAGGGGAGTTAGGGCTCTGGTAACCTCATTCAGTTACTCGGTGAAAACCAAACGAAAGAATTGCTAAACCTAGTATAAATGAAAAAAGAATATACCAAATTGGTCCTTAACTATATGGATATTGGTTCTCGTTCTTGGCTCCGAGGTAACTGTTGTAACATATCTATTTAGTAACTAATATGTCGCGTCTATAGCCGCTATGGGCGCACTACTTCCTATTTCATTGTTCGTCTGTCTGTGATACTGTGAGCTCTGTATTTGTAATATACTGAAGTAATAGGATAAGATTACAAGTTAATCGAACAAGATCATTCATTTATAAGAAGACCTAAACACCATGTGGTGTATTATCAACATAACAAAAACAAACATAAAACGGAAATACAAAACGCATTGATAATCAACTTTTTTTTTGAAGTTGGTTAAAAACATGGCGCTCTAAATGTAGAATTAAAACAAGGAATTGTTAAAAACATTTTACAGCAATAAAGATCATATCAAAATTTAGATTTGGACAGTATAGATATATGGCCTTGG